AATAATGGAACACACAAAAGCGCAAGTGTTCCTATACTCTTTTCCGGGTTTCATGTCATGCTTTATATTGCACTGTTGGTAAAAATCTGGAAATAAATAAAGGAACACTTGTACTTTCATGTTTTCCCTTATTCGTTTCCATGACTATATTACTTGTCAAGGTTATAGCTGTATCAGGAAGTTTTTATTACATTTGAAACCACAATAAACTGAAGAAATACACTAATTTATCTTTCAATATACCGAGCCATTCAGATTTTATTGCTGTGTTGTATTGTTTAAGATTTGCTGAGCTGATGATACTCTGCTCTCTCTCAGCATGGCAGGGAGTAATAATAATAATGATAATAATAGTCCGCTTATATGGCGTTCATATCCAGGCACATTGCCTGCTCATGGCGCTATGTACATTACTATCCCCGGTCATTGGACACTGTCGTACTTTCCGATATTTTTTCAACTCCCTGGGGATCATACAGCCATGCTGCCTGTTAGGCGCAATGAACTAAGCACTCACATTGCCAGCACATCCTCATGGGTACCCATTTTACAGCTGGGTGAACTGAGACAATGTGGATTTAAGTATCTTGTCCAAGGATACTACGCCCACCTCAGGACCCGAACCTAGGTGCCTCCACCGTGGATCGAACCTGGGCCTTCAGCGTGATAGGCAGATGCCTTACCACTACAGTATTGCGCTCCACTCCTTCCTATTTCCTGTGTCATGTGTACTTTTCAGTATGATGCTTTGTCATCTGAATCTAGTTCTCACCAAACCCATATTCTATCTAGGTGAAGTCATGCAATGAGTGTAGGTATTACTCCATCTGAATCACTGTACATGGAACAGTATCTTGTGTTCCTGAAACCCTTTTACACTATAACATTGGAGATGATATTTGTCCCAAATGAACCAACATCTAACATGCGACACGCCACAAACTATATATGACAGCAAATCTAAGCTTACACATATCTTGCCATCTGACTTTCTTTTCCCATGTATAAGTAGACCCAAAACATAAACTTGATCTCTTCCGTCCTTACCCCTCCCACTGTCTGCATTACCATATATCCCTGAGTCAGCTCCGCCAATTATATCTATGACTGTCACGTCATGCTACAACTATAACTCCAGCTCACTGGGAATTACATGAGCGTTATGTCAGCATTGTGTCGAGTGAGACCCCCTCCTAACCCCACACTCCCCCCACCCACTATCAGCATTCAAGTGAAATCTCTTCCAGTTTGTATGTCAGCACCTCAGGCCATCCCCTCACCCTCAAACAGCTGTCATTACATGCACATTAAGTCATTAAACTTAGCCTATGTGTCACGCTCCAATTTCCTGTTGATCAACACGCAGTGAGACTCTCCAGGGCATTCCTCCATGCTTAGCCAGACCCAGGTCTTTGTTAGGCTGTGCTAATGCAAGGATCACCTGACCAGTGACCTGCTGTTATCATACCGTCCAGGTCATGCTATTTGATTATAGGAAATTGGACTTTTCATGAAGTTTACATGAAGGATCAGAGACGAGCCTCAGGGAATGATCTTCAAAGAACGCACCAGCCTTGTCTTTGAGGAAGTGACATCTGATATATGAATGTTTGACAATTGTAGGCAATGGGAGACTAAGGATAAAGGAGCATGTTGATCTCCCAGCAGAGACAGTCAGCTGAGACTGATGTATATGAATAGACACAGTAGCATAACGTGACTCCTCTCATTCAAATTTCCTACCAAGCAGGGGGCACCACAGCTGAGGACAATTACACCACAACCTATTAAGCTGGGCAAGTGAGCCATGGAGATTGTTCAATGATCACACCACTGGAAATATAAGTCCTCTGGTATGGCCTGATCGAGGGCCACAAAAGTATGACCTGGGTATATTTACTTTAATTTCAATAGGGAGAGTTGGTCACCTTATGTTGCTGGCAAGTCAAGAACCTATTTATAGATGTGCAGTAAGAGCAGTGAAACAGCTACTGGTTGAGTGTCAGTACTTGAGAAACTGCTGCAGTGTGTTGATAACTTGAAGGACTTGTGATGGCGTTGTGACTGGTGTACTCCATGCTGATTTGGTAACTGTTTGGACTTGGCTATTTACCTCATCTCAGGAGACTAACATGGTGTTGACTTCAAATAAAAAAGTAAGTGTACTATTGTATTAGTGTGTTTTAGAATCAGCTGATCCACTCTTTCATGTTGATATGATTGGGTACCTTTGGCTTTTGGTATGATAGGATATGAATAATAGATTATTTTAGGTATGATAGCAGTACATGTTCTCGGTAAAATTCCGTTGTTTTTTAGGGGGTGGGGGGTTCAGTAATGAAAAGCCTGTAGAAATTCACTCCAGGCAACAGATTTATGATAAAGTAGATGTGTTTCATACATTGATACATGTATAACCAAGTAATAGTTTCACTTATTAATGGCTTTAATTGAAAGAATTCTTTGATTCAAGAACAGACTTGTCTTCCTAGTTCTACTTATGTGTTTGCAATAATCCTGCTGGTCAACACCTGCCTCACCAGCACCTGCCTGACCAACACCTGTGGGGATTGTTTTGCTTGTCATTATCATCACAGTAGGATGTGGTTTTCTCATTCAACATGCTCAATAGTTCTAGATAGGGACACAGAATGGGAGCTGTTTCTTTCATTTTATGAGGGAAGAATTAATTCCTTTGTCCTGAATGGGTTATTAAGTGTAATTGGCCTTGAAGTAAGTTGTCATGGTAACAGAAATTTGTCTCGGGAGCTGTTTTACATGTAAATCTGTTTAGATAATCGTGACTAGTACAAGTGAATAACTTGACATGTAATGTTAGATATTGGCTGATCCTGACTTAAGAATGTGAGCATTGGAAGAAAAAGATTCATTCAAGAAACTCATCACCTCTACTTGTTTGTACAGCATGTTGTTTACAGAGGTCAGTCAGTGCAGGATGTTTCACAAGATGGGATATTACAGCCATTGATTACTGAGTGAAGCTGAGGAGTATTCTCATATATGTATTGTGTGTGAAGACATCACCTGGTTATCACGTTTTAAGCCCCCAATAGCCTGCAGTTAGTCTGACCTGGCCGAGAATGTGGAGTGTTCACATCTGGCAGATCTGAGGTTGCTAAGCAGTCTAAGGGAGACAACCCAGTCTGTCTGATATTATGTATCGTTTATGTACATGATGGAAACCTGATAGCATACAATAATAATCTTGAAAAGGGGAAAGTACTTAAAAGAATTAAGGGCTGACACATCCAGATGTGTTTCAGTATGCAGTTAGCATCTCCTTCCAATGTGTTCGCTCATGCTGGACGACATGTTTTCTGTATATATTAGAAATGGAAGGAAACAGATTGACTGTCAAACCGCCTACGTGGTGTAGTTAGAGAGAAGAAGGCTTGTGGTTTGAACCCTTGGTTTGATTCACCATACCCAAATACCTTAATAGATGGTACTTGTTGTCACCCAGCCTGGCTCTCTGCAATAAGTGTATGACACAGAGTGGTCGACACAGAGTCAGTACAATGTGTCCGAGTTAGTGTTGGGAATTGGTTAAATTTTCATAATTGATGATTGGTTCATTACTACCGATCAATCATCGAAAATAATTGGTTAGTGTCATTTATGAAATTTGTTAATGCACATAAAAATAAGGAAAAAAATTGGCAAAATTTCACATCTTTAAAGGATGACTAGTATGTTAGGAACATAAATTTCTTGGAATCTTTTAGATGAATTCAATCATGACTTGAAACACGCTTGTAGTGCTTACGACATGTAACAGACAAAACCAACTATGTGAAAAATATTGTTGATGAAAACAAGTGTTCCAGAATTGTTTGTGTTTGATTATGAGAAATTGTGATCGATTGCTTGGTCGTTTAGTCACTACGACCAATCTTCGATTATTTCAATTAATCGGACCACCTCTAGTCTGAGTTGGGTATCCATGTTGGCATGGTATCAGAGTGGACTTGCACTACAAAATTGGGGGGTGAAATGTAGATATTACCCAAGCTATACATTCCTTCTTGTCCATTCATGACCTGCCTGAAGGACTGGCAAGTTCAACACTTGCTTGATAACAGTGTTAGTAGTTGCACCAAAACGTTGCTCATATTGATAATAAAGAAGTTGTATATCCATAGAACTTTCCCCGTTGTTCAGTTGGTAAGTTGTCCAGGTTGTTTGACATCATGGGATTAACAGTAGTTTTATTACTATTGTATTGGTGACTTCTTATTTGGACAGATCACACGTAACTCTGCAGATTTACAGATTGGAATAGTTTGACATTTTCAGAACATAGCCATGTTGACAGCAAATGGTTTCCATGGATGAAGGGTCGGTGGGGTAGCCTAGTGGTTAAAGTGTTTGCTCATCACGCTGAAGACCCCGGGTTCGATTCCCCACATGGGTACAATGTGTGAAGACCATTTCTGGTGTCCCCTGCCGTGATATTGATGGAATATTGCTAAAAGCGGTGTAAAACCATACTCACTCACTCACTCCATGGATGAAGAAAATAAGATTGTTATCTCTGTAATCCATTTATGCTAAATGAATTGTCTGTATAACTAGCCTCTTCCAGCCCTGATGGTGAAGATATATAAAATGAGTCAAGACATTTTGTATTACCATTTGTGTGAGCTTTCTGTCATAGAAATCTTACAAGGACCGAAACTGTCTGACAGTGACAGTCAAGATGCAGATTTGATGATAGTTGACAGTTTGTTCACAGAGGAAGACCCCTCAAGTGATTTAGGGATGGTGTAGTAATTGAGTGACATTTTCTATATAAGATACATGTTCCTGCCACACTCCAAACTTTACACAAGCTTTGATCATCACACAGCTTCTTGTGCTGCACTGGCAGTGTCTGACGTCTTCACTGAGAGCCACTCCTTTGATTTGTGTCTTCCACAATGGTAAGGTCTGCAGTGGGTTGTCTTGTATTCAGACCGTGGTCTTGTTCTGTTCTGCAGGAAGAAATCAGATGCGGGGAAGATTCCACCACTGAAGAACTTCAAGAAAGGCCAGAGTAAGAGCCCTTGCCTTCCCAAGAAGCAGCCGTCACCTGACACCCTGAGTCCTGCTATCAGAGTGCATTATGGGTCAGGGACACTGCATCCACCGCCCTTAGATGATGTGCTGAGGCGCAGCACAGAGGATCTAGAGATGGTAGGTTGGAGGTCATCGTGGGTCATTTGGTGTCCAGTGGAGGCCCAATCTTACATGCTATGTCATGATCCAGAAATTACTAACATAGACCTATAACAAGATGCTATTGAACTTGGAATTATTGAGTATTCACTGTTGTGGTTACTGGACTGCAGGAGTCATTTCATCAGTCTTTTGATAATTTGCAGTCTCTTAAACAGAGAAAAATATTGCATTTCTCCCAAGCTGGTACAATTCTTTGTCAAGTCAAAAAGATTTCGGTTTCTAAGAATGAATAGATTCTCTGGGCTCCTTTCTGTTTTACATTAAAAGACTGTCATACACTACAATTTACTTGACCTCATCCATTTTGCCCCTACAGCTAGACACAAGCAGTAAGGAGAATGGCGGTAGCATTGACACGATGCTGGATGATGTGGATGAGGTGGATGCTCATCCCTTGCCCGAGACATCGGAGTCTAGTCGAGTCAAGGCAGCCATTGATCACCTTCACCAAAAGATTGACAAGACGAAAGAGATGATCAAGACTGAACAGGCACATAAAGAAGGTGAGAACTTTCCTCTTATAAGTCATACATGTCTCCTGTTGTGTGTAAGGAATTGCTCATTTTAGGATTGCTTTTTCAGAAAATTCAAATTTTTTCCTCTTGCTGGTTGCAGCTAACGTGAACGAGTACCTGCGTCTTGCGTCCAGCACAGAGGACAAGCAACAGGCTCAGCGCATCAAGACAGTTTTCGAGAAGCGCAACCAGAAGTCGGCTCAGGGCATTAATCAGCTGCAGAAAAAGCTGGAGAACTACCAGCGGAAACTGAGTGACATTGAGAGGCGTGGACTTCCTGGCCACAAACAAGCCAAAGACAGGCTGCGTGATGTCGGCCAAGGGCTCAAGTAAGTTACTCATCTTACAGCATCGTTTTACACTGGTTGATTTTTTGTGAAGTTTGAGTTTCTTTCAGGAAATGCAAGGGATCAAAGGTGCTGCAGCATGCCTTGTAGAGTTCCATCCCATAGTTTTCACAGGACCTGTAAAGATCAGGGATAGAATTGGTCTTAAGCAACCCATGCTTGGCGCTGACATGGCTGAGACATGTCATCATATCCCAATTGTATAGATCGATGATCTTGATGACAGCATTGTCTAGTCCAGACTCGATTATTTACAGACCACCACCATATCACTGGAATATTACTGAATGAGGTGTTAAACAACAAACAAACCAACCAACGATAGTTTTCCCAGGACCTGTAAAGATCACGGCTAGAATTGGTCTTTAGCAACCTATGCTTGTCGCTGACTTGGTTGAGATATATCATCGCATCCCAATTGCACAGATCAATGATGGTGATCATTTTTACAAACCACCACCATATCGCTGGAATATTGCTGAATCTGTCATTAGGGTAAAATGTAAGTTTCCTCCCAATGTGATCCATGGGCTGTCAGCACCAAGCACATGGGGTTTGGTAACCATGGTTTCTCCATGGGTTTCTGCCCACATTAAGCTTTCACACCATAACTGAAATACTTTTCAAAGAGGTAGGAAACCAGACTCGCTTGTTACATATCGCAATAAATCCTCCATAATTCAACTAACTGTTTGCTTCTAAAACTGTTAGTAGATTTAAATTGAAATTGTGTTCTTAATTTAACTATGGGGAACTCTGTCGCTGAAATTGTCTGCTCACACACACACTGTTTCCACACCACTAATTACATTTTACTGATGCCTTGTTTCATCCAAGTTACTTCAGTACATCTGCAGGGTATGTTTTATTCTTTTGCTTAATTTGAATTAAATTGATTTTTCATTACAAATCAGTAAACTTCACATCACAAATTAGCATTACTATTGGATATTAATATGCCAATGGTAAATAATTCTCATGTCTAAAAATCATACCTTTAGCTTTAACAGCAACACCATATATTGATCTCAGTGTAAAATCCTCTTCTTTTAATTAGGGTTTTGGAACACTCGCAACAAGCACATCTGCATTACATTGATCATGTTGCTTTATGAAGCACATGGTGCCTGTAGCTATGAAATCAGGGTGTTATGTCTGCAAAGAGCTTCCATACATTGATTAGTGGTCAATATAAGGCACTGGACACATGTGATGTCTGCGATAACAATTTGATTATAAACCAATGTAGATTACGCTGCTGATTCAGTGTGGCCATCCTGCTCCACAGTTGTCCCACACTCACAGCCAGATAGAGATACACATGCTTAATATTTCATGCCAGTCAGACTGGAGGATTGTCAGATGCCATTTGGGATAAGGGTTGGGTAGAAGGACACTGGTACCTCTTTGACACTTTGGCCTTTGTTGGAGATGGGGTGAGTGGTTTCACTGGCTGCAACTGCAGTAATGAGGAATTTTGTAGTTGAAACTTTTGGACTGGGCGGTTCCAGACAGTTTGTATGAACTCTGTATTAGTTATGAAGTACTGTTTGATCTTCAAGAAAATTGCAAGCACTGTTACATTTTGATTTTATAGTACTCCATATGTTTTACTGATGAGCAGATTTATGTTGGCGTTTAGTTTGAGTATACACATGTATATATATCGTTTTTCATTAAATGAATCACCAGTCACTTCCTGCATTTAGAACAGAAAGTATGATCCATTGTTCCTCAGTTAGAAATATGATATGCATGGGAAAAACATGAATCTGTTTAGGTTGTTTTTTAAGTTTCCTCCTCAAACTCATCTCTGCTATTAATTTTTATCTCTGATCTCTGAACATGAATATTTCATGATGTACTAGGATGAACAGTTTATGCATGCATTGTATTTGCTAAAATGGTAACTGTGTTTCCAAGGCAACCATATTACAAAGGGATGAAATTTACATTTACTGAAAGAGACTTTGCTAAATAGGCCTTTGATATATTGTATGTAGGTATTTAGTAGTTGAAGACACTTATCTCAATATCAGCATTAACAGAATCTTAGGGTTACATGCAGTATTTTTAAATATATTGTTGTTTTTGCAGAGATGTGGGTGCCAATATTGTAGATGGAATAACAGGTTTCTCAGGGTGAGTTGCTCTCTTTAGAAATTTTGAAGATTTTTTTTTTCATTTTGAAAATAACTTCCTTGTTTTCTTTCACTTTACCCTTAATATTTGAAATTCCATTTTGAGCATTTTGATATTCGTTGATTCTTGTTACAGTCCTTTTGATTTCATTTGAGACCGATGAATTGCTCACATGTGCAACTCACACACCTGGCTGTTCTACCAAGCAAGTGGTCCCCCCTCGTAAAATATAGCGAAAAGTGACAACAAAATAATGATCGTTTCTTGAACAACTTTTGTACAGTTGGTCTGTCGATTTTATGTGACTGCAAAATTTGGTTTTGTTGCAATTATTAGATTTTGTGTTAGTGAGCAATTCTTGTCAAACGGACTGTAATAGATTCAGTTTGATAGCTACTTGCCAGTTCTGTTGTGGTTGTATAATATTGGTTTGTGTTCTGCTTCAGTGGAGTCGTAGACAACATTAAAGGAGCCAAAGAGTAAGTTGAAGTATATAGTACTACCAGTACAAATGTCATACTGTCATACACTTGACTGAAGGATCATCAGAAGAAAATCATATTTTGTCTTATCGGTTACAAACAGTCCATTTAACAAAATATTCTTTTTTAAGCTTAGTGTTTTAGGTGAAATTTCAATAATACATGTGTGGATACTTTGTAAATTTAGTGTTCAATGTTTTAGCTCAGTTGTCAATCTGGGGCGGTGGGGTAGCCTAATGGTTAAAGCGTTGGGTCGTCACGCCGAAGACCCGGGTTCGAATCCCCACATGGGTACAATGTGTGAAGCCCATTTCTGGTGTCCCCCGCCGTGATGTTGCTGGAATATTGCTAAAAGCGGCGTAAAACCAAACTCAGTCAGTCAGTTGTCAATCTCACTAAATATGTTTACTTGTATATATGTACGTGTAATTTACTATTGGTTGAGAATTTCTATTGTCCTAAAATGTGTGGTTATTTGGGGGGGGGAAGAGAAAATTTTGGTGTCATTTGATTGTTTAGATTTTAGATTCATGCTGTCTCAAGATTGGATTTTAACAGATTTCCCTTGTCCTTTGCAGTACAATAGTCGCAAAACCCAAAGAATTTGCTCATCTAATAAAGAACAAGTTTGGAAGTGCTGACAATATTAATCAATTAAGTGAGTATATCCCTACAATCTTCTAAGTTAATGAATTATCACATCATTGCTGGGGCGATGGGTTAGTCTAGTGTTAAAAGCGTTCGCCTGTCATGCTGACGGTTCGGGTTTGATTCCCCACAGGGGTACAATGTGTGAAGCCCATTTCTGGTGTTCCCTGTCATGATGTTCTTGGAATGTTGCTAAAAGTGGCCAACTGCAGCATAAACCCATACTAAATAACTCACATCATTGCAATTAAGAACAGCCCTGGTTCTCATTGAGAATCATTTGATATTAAATCACAGATTTGAGCATTAGGTCTTAGAGCAGTGATCCACCAGGGTCTGGGGCATTGAGCATGTGTTGAACCACTGGTTTGCCTACTGATGGCGATGACATTAAACAACATTCATTTACTTGGTACCTGGTAATCCAGCCTAGATGGAAGTCTATGTTAGAAGCAGTCCATGCTTGTTGCAGGTCAGACTTAATGACTTTGGTGGTAATATACGCTACTCTGACAGGGTCGGATTTTACCCATGATATTAAGCCCTAGTTTTTCCCACTGTGTGAGATGTTAAGACACAAACGTCAAGCTGGCATAGCATAACAGGTCTAAGATATTGTTCAATTCGCTGTCGTGTCTTTGATACTCTCTTGTCATGATCGCTGCACCAGATGTCAATGATAATGCTTTTTTTTAAAAAACCACCAGGGCTAGATTTAAGAGATGTTAACCTACTTGCACCAGGTGCAACCTAAGATAAAAACCTTGTTGCACCATCCAAATTCCAGTTGCACTGCTTTTATTGCAGTATGTAATGTAAGAAATATGCTATTGATTTATTTAGATGTTTTATTCAGAAGTTTAGCCACTCAAAATTTACTTGCACCTGGTGCAAGTTAGACTAATAACCAGGTTGCACTTTGTAATATTGGGTTGCACCAGTGCAAGTAAGAAAGCACTAAATCGAGCCCTGAACACAGAAACCATAAGCATTCATATTTTCATATATTTGTTCACAGAAATGGAGGAAGAGAAGGAAGATGGAGAAACTAGGCAGCCTTCAGGAGGAACTTTACCTGCCAGGTAAGAGATCAAGGATATTTTGATGGGTTGAAGATCACTTTAGTGCTTGAAGGTGAAGGGATTCATTGGGTGTTGGTTTCCCATGGAGGACATTCAGTGGTGTGAAAATCTATCTTATTTTATCTACTGCACTGTGGAATTGAACATGGCAAACTTCAGGAATGCTGATGAGGCGGAACTAATAGTGGTAGCAATTAGACATTGTTTTAGATGGTAATTATGTTGTGTTAAGTGGATATAAGGAACCATCCCCGACAGTCTTTTCCTCCTATCAACACACTGTATCTTGGTGTTTCAGTGGTCATTATTGTCAGTCATTAACAGAATGGAGAAAGATATCCGTCTGAGGTACAAGACCAGTTTCACGAGTGTCAAGTACACATTTGTCAATGATATAAAAACGTGTCAACATGTGACTAAGCATGTTTTGATGTAGAGTCTGGTTCACAAACGTCAGTGTCACCAATGGTGGGGTACATTAGACCAATACAGCGTTAGTGGTGGCTTTCACACAGACTTCTCTGATGTCATGCTGGGTCATGCTGTGACCATGCTGTGTCACACTGATCACGCTGTGCCGGGCAGTTCACAGCAGCATGCAGGGCTGACCTCTGTGAGGACAGCATGGTTGCTAGTCATTTAACATGTCTGATTCATCCTCTAACTTGCTTCCTAGACTAGACATTGCTTTACTGTAGACACAATAACAAGTCACTCTGTCAATCTGACATCAGTCTTCTGCACTCTGGGATTGGGCTGTGTTGAAAAGGCAAATGTTTTCTTTCTTCAAGCTGTCCAGGTGATATCAATTAACCCATCTCAAATTGTTGGAGAGTTATGTTCCAGAGATTAGCGTTAACTATACGCACTCATTTATGTAAGACAGAATGTGGGTCTTTGATGGATCAGAGGGTTATGTTTCTGAGATTTCTAGGTGGTATTGACCAGGTGCGCTCAATTATATCAGGCAGGATGACAGGTTCTGCTATTACTCAAACATGTCTTTTGGCATGACATGCAGTAGATTTTACTGCTTAAAATTTGATGGATGCTAGCTGAGATTACTACTCAGAAAGACATGTTAATGGATACAGGCTTTGACTTTTGGCTATCCCAGACTGATATCCCAGATGAAGACAGAAAATCATAAATGGTTTATCCCAGAAAGAATCAGAAAGTGATTTATATCCTGAACAATGATATATCTGTATGATGACAAACTATCTTCCAGATCACTGGGCTGTGTCATGTGATCCAATTTGTCACTCTTAAATATGTCAGTAGTTCAGTGATGGAGATACAATATTTACAAATGAACTTGAGCAAGGAAGCTTTTGTTTTAGAATCTGTATGATGGTAATGTGAAACCCTTAGAATATTGAGTCATGTTTGGTATGATGTGTTAGGCGTGTTGTGGATCATTGCTAGGAAGTGTCATGTGAGTTTGTGTAGTGAGTTTAACATCACTTTATCTTGCTATGCAGACAAACAGTAGGAACAGAGTAAGTAATCGGTCACAGGGCCCTGCTGTACACAGGACCCATTCATACATAGGTTGAAGCACTAAAACTAACAGAATGATTATAAAAGACTTCTCAGGACTAAGATTCTGGAAATCATTTTTTCATCATTAAATTTGATAAAAGCCTCTCATTATCAATGAGAATCATGATCCATTACAGTGTGTCCAAATCAAATTCAGAAGGTTGCCATCTTTCTGAGGTTTCCTTTTCCAAAACATGGCCTTTACGCCTGGTTCATTGATATTCTAGAAGTGTCTTCAGCAAGTGTCCGACTGCTTGTGTGGGCCGTATGTACAGCAGGGTGTCTGTCAGCCTAATCAGTGTGACACCCTAGACACTGACTGAATCACAAGACCACGTCCTCTCACTGTGCTTCATACCATAACACCACCATACTCCTCCATATCACAGGCTGCTTTGCATGTTCGTAGTTTTCGTTGTCAGTTCTTTCACATTAATACCTCTAAGTTCACTGTAGGTGTTTTTGTCCTCTTTAGTTTCCCACTTAGTTCTGCGTTAATTAGCAAGTGTGTGTAGTGTGAATGTGTGTATGGGTGTGGTGTGTGTTCTGGTGTAGACAGCTTCTTGTAGATTATGTTGTAGTACTGCAGGCTTGGATAGCTGAGCACCACAGCAGATAGTTCTGTGAGTAGTGTGTGAATAGTACTTAAGGTAACCTCAGGTATTGCAGTGGTTACCAAGTAACTCAGCTGTAAGTGAATGGTGCTTAACATCAGCTTTTGCAGCTGTTGCCTGGTAACACAGCAGCAGGCTTAGTTCTGTGAACAGTGTGTGAATAACTTCTTTGAGTGGCATTTTAGAAGTTGGGAAGTACAATATAGAACAAACTTTATGGATAACAACTTCTTCTTATTCGTGAGTGCGACGTTTCGATACAGATTCTTGTACCGTTGTCAAGCATTATGCACTCACGAATAAAAAGAAGTTGTTATCCATAAAGTTTGTTCTATAGTGTGTGAATAGTACTTAAGGCAGCATCAGGTATTGCAGTGGTTACCAAGTAACTCAGCAGAAAGTGAATAGTACCTAAAGCAACAAAAGCTCTTTGCAGCTGTTGCCTGGTAACACAGCAGCAGGCTTAGTTCTATGAGTAGTGAACAAATAGTGCTTACAGCTGCAGCAAATCTGCAGCCATTAGTAGCTCTCCAAGCCAGATTTATGAGTGGTGAATATTGTGTAAGCCAGCGAAAGCCATGTTACTGCTTCTCAATAGCCTGCCAAGCAGCACAGCTTCAACCCATGCAGTAGAAGCTGTGTCCGAGCAATGCACCTTTCAGTGTACTCTTGAACCATTGACTTGTATAGTGACCAATCTGATAGCATTGTATGAAATGTTTTAAAAGGACAAAAAAAATTAAGCTTGGTAAATTTAACTTTTGTCCAGTTCTTATGTTTTTTCATTCAGTGTTATTAATTTATAGTTTCTCCATGCTGATTATGTGTGTTTGGTCTGTTAGTTTCAAGTACGGGTCAGACGATGAAGGATCAAGCATTACTTCAGGCTCAGGGTTCGGGGCACATAGTAGCCCCCACTCCACTTCCCAGAATACCTCACAGCAACTTCCTGTTCTCACTCAAGCCATTGTTGACCCTATTCTGCTGGAGCTAGAGGAAATGAAGGACTTCAATCGGAAACTCACAGATCAACTCCAGAAACTAGCAGAAGATTTTGACACATACAAGGTAATGCGACAGACATTTTGTTGACCTTGACCTTGCTGGCCACAATTAAATTTTGTTTTGTTTTATGTAATGTTTACGAAACATATTTTGAGGAATGGGGATCTGCAGAGGGGATAAGAAACATTTCAGATTATATTTTAGGTGGTATTTCAAAGCATTGTCCAAATGTTGTCCAATGTGTTGCTGCGTGTGCAGTGAATCTGCAAGATTTTCACAATGACATCTTTTAGTTTTGCTTTCATCAAATAATTCCTGGACACCTTTTGAAATGGCAGTGCAAGAGAAACAATATATTGCCATGTAGTGTATCTGTCACTAATGTGGAAATGTCAAGGTATTGCAAGAGTGTGATTATGTCTCCCCTTGAAGGGTCGGGAGACATACTAGTATTGTTTTTGGTTGAGTTTCCATCGGTGTCGGCATTCCCAGGGTTTTTTCAATTTCACTTTTTTCTGTTTTCATGGCAACAATTTGGACTTTGTCTTTTTGAAGGGTAAAGATCGTTACTGGAGCAAAATTCTGAAACTAATTGACCCATCTTCACCAAATTTGCTATACTGCCTCTCCATATCATGTAAATGTGCCCTTGGGGGTTTGAGGGTTTGGGGTTTTTTTCAATTTTATTTTTTTTTTTCTGTTTTCATGGCAACAATTTGTACTTGGTCTTTTTGAAGGCTAGAGATTTTGAAATTGAAAGAATCAAATGAATTGTTTGAGGTCTCAACGTTGAGTTGGGGGAAGGGGGAGACATCTGTTTTTACGAGTAAAAACACTTTCTAGTTTCTAACTGTACCTGATTGTGTGTTGTGTGCAGGCTACGTCCACCTGTGAGATAAGCATACTGCGGGGCCTGCTGGACGAGGAGAAGTACAAGGTGGACCGCCAGGAGGATCAGATCAATGACCTCACAGAGCTGCATCAGAACGAAATCACCAACCTCAAACAGGTCAGTGGTCACACAACTGGTCTCTGAGTGATATCATCACTGTCTACTGTATTAATACTAAACCAGGTTTAGTTTAGCATATTGATTTTGGATAATGAGAATGGTATGATACTTTATAGATAACAACTGACAAGCCAGGCTTGACAATGGTATAATAATCTATACCGAAACGTCTGCATCATAATATAATAAAGAAGTTGTTATCCATACAGTATCATACCTTTCTTTGATCACTGGATTGTCTGGTCCAGACTAGATTATTTACAGACCGCCGCCATATAGCTGGAATATTGCTGAGTGCGGCGTAAAACTCTCTCACTCACTCTCATACCTTTCTTATTATTCATCAACTTCTAAAATGCCAATAAAACATCTGATTTTCGATACATAAGTCACCCAGGGCGTCAAGGTACCTTGATGGAATTCATGGTGCTTTTGGTAATCATTCACAACATTGTTGACTGTATGTTGTTAGATATACATTCACGTCAGTTCAAATGGAATGGCATAACCTCTTTCCATCAGATGCTGAGATGAGCAGTCTTAACTGTTACTTTTGAGCCTAATGTTCTCTATATTATGTTAAAGGTCACATGCAACGTAAAACACAACTTTGCAGATTCTGATACCTTTCGGTATGGACTTAACGAAAAAAAGCGTCAAAAATGCAAATTCAACTTATAAAGTTGAAAAATAACGCGATGAAAAAAGACGCGCGAAATCGGAGTTCAAACGTTTCACTAATTTTCCCCAGACTTTTCTGGGGAATACGGGTTTCAACAGCTGGCTGCGCTCATAGCACGTGCGCAGTGAAATAGGTTTGCGCAACTTGGAAGCGGGCTGTCTGGTGAATACTCGGTGAAGGCTTTGGTGTGAGCTAGTTTCATAATTTTTTGTTGATATCTCACAGGCGCGAGCTTTTTGTATGTTATGACAGTAAATAAACTGTTTATATAATTTCATTTGTCTATTTCACCACACGTTCTTCTTACCGAGTCACTTTCTCAGTTCGATACTTAAAAAGCAATGTCATTATTTAGAGTTGACACGATTTCTAACTGTGATATAGATATGTCGCTGTCACAGACAAAACTCAATGTCTTGTTTTATTGACACCAGTGTGTCTGCCTGCCTGTCTGCTAATGACAATATATTCAATACACAACTGCGATCACTGACCACATGCAATTTGAACTTAACACCAATCAGGCTATACACCATAAACAAAACGCATTGATTTATGGCCCGAGTTCGGTCTCTGTCACATTATGTAATTACACAGACAGGCAGGTGTGATACTTGAACACATGACATGTTATGATGTCTGTTGATTGCAAAATGTTTTACACAAAAAATGAGCATGTATTTACAAAACCCAACTTTCTATATATACACACACAATGACCCGTGAAGGCGGCATCTGCTAATGAACCAGCCGTTACACTTGAGTGCACACCCACCCGCTCTGACTGGGTTCGGTATCCCGGCTGCTTCGTTTCGAGGGAGGTAAACCCGAGTACAAAATATTGCACTTTTGATTTGCGATTATACGCTTATAATTTTGTTTATTTGTTTTTTCATAATCAGCAATGCATATTATATGTCATGAAGAAGTGATAATTGTGTTTTAATTATGTTTGATTTTTTGGTTGCATGTGACCTTTAACTTGAAGTAAGCCATGTTGATTACTGACTTGTCCAGTTGTTTCCCTTCAGGATATCACCAGCATGGAAGAAAAGATTGAATATCGTTTGGATGAACGAACAACGGACCTCAGTGATCTCGTAGACAATTGTCAGACAAGGGTATGTAATCTTACTGGATGACAATCAAACTTTGGTAAACACCAGGAATACCAGAGTAGCTAGCTTGGTTTGAGGGCACTGATGGCTTTTAGCATGATTCTCTACTTTCATTGCAGGGCATTGGGGTTGGCTAGTGGTTAAAGTGTTTGGCTGGGGTTTGATTCCGTATGTGATTACAGTGTGTGTAGCTGTTTGATATTGCTTGAATATTTGCTAAAAGTGGTGTTAAAACATACTGGCTCAAATGTCAAAGCAAGCATAAAAAATATTGCATTTTGACATTCAAGTCTACTCTCTCCCATTATTTTCTGCAATGTTTTGTTAACATGTGACATTTTCTTTCCATGTGTAAACTCTGGGCCACAAACTGTCTAGTGCATGAATTGTAAAAATTTTGATTCACTATTAAAGCTGTCTGATTTTTATATGTAGAGATAACAGATAATAAAGTTCGACAAAACCAGTTGACAATCTTTGTACTTCAGTACTAGTTTTGAGTTTCATGTTTTACTATGGCCTTCATTGTCCATCTCCACAGATTCAGCGTCTGGAACAGCAGCAGCAACAGCAACAGATCCTTTCCATGGAGATGGTCGAGAACGTCACATTCAGGACAATACTCACGAAACTCATTAACGTTGTCCTTGCTCTACTTGCCGTTGTGCTTGTTTTTGTATCCACTGCAGCAAACCTCCTCTCTCCCTTTCTGACATCCAGGTAACGATCATGGTTTTAGGACATCATAGTTCTTGAACTAAAACCTGATGTCCTCACCCTTAGTTCAGTCCAATTAGCCCCCTGTACAAAGCAGGATGGACTCCACTAGAATGGACCCACTTCAGTACAGGCTTACACATCATATTTAGAATTTACGACAATCTATCTGTGACACATAACAGCGTATGGTATGGATTTACAACTTCTTTAATATTTACAACACAACGTTTCTGGGCTACTTTTTGACCCTTCATCAGGTGAATGACAGAATATAGTACGAGCAACATATATAGTATGTACAGGAAGCCAGTGAGATAGTATTACCGATTGAGATGTGCAGAGATAAAATGTCATTCTGTCATTTGGCAGTTGGCTGACAAAGTATGGGTTGAATCAGACAACGAAACTAGCTGTAGTTGCCATATGTCCAGTGCTAGGTTATTTTTAAGTTATACACAAGCAGTTACATTCTACTCTGTGACTTTCCCCATGTGAATACCAACCAATAACAGGCCCTTGGCACAAAGTGTGCTTGTTGTACGAGGTGCCTGCCAGGATAGACAGGCATGTACTGGGTCGGTTTGTCCATCATTGCTCACAGTATCAGTACTGGGTTGTCCTGCAATCAGTTGCAGGTTACCTCCATATAAATGGAGTTCAACAAAGTTAAACAATAAAGTCTGAGTTAGGATCAAAAGAATTCCTGGTTCCACCAGTGGCACCTACTTCCTGGACCCAAGTAGAAACCCATGCATAATGCATACCCACATCTAGAGGATGCAGTGTGTGAGGAATCTTTAGTATTGATGCAGTGAAACTCTTGATTGTCCCCTCAGGTGAACTGCTGATAACAATCTTTGTCAATGAAATTGTGAAACGTGCATTATAACATCTCTACACATAATGAATTACCACGTGCATTATTCATCGACCCCAACCCTAAATTCCATGTGGTTAACCTAACTTGCATTACCAACATTCTTACCATTAGTGTATGTAATGCACTCTGAAAGTGCAGTATATATTCCTCTGTTCTTGTAAACGTTAAAATAACGGTGTGGCCTAGCCTTGGTTGGCTTGTTTATCAGGAATGTATGTATTTACAATGTTAATGGCATGAAGGTAACATGTTGTTCTGCCTTGTTCCAGAATGCGCATCCTGTGGACCATTGTTTTGGCCGTGTTCTTCACGGTCCTGTATCACAGCTGGGACAGCATCGAAGCTGCTGCTCATTATTCATGGGACACGATGACCAGTATATGGCCGTGGAGGTAGTGTTGCTGTCATCTGCTGCCGCAAGGCAGTTGGACATTATCTGTATTTTGCTTCCACTGCAATAACATGAAAGTCTCAGGGACCCAGGGTTCCAGCGACTGTGGGGCATGACTCCAAGATCTTCCTGTATTCCGCTGACAACGAATTGATTTGCTACAAATTGTGTTGGCAAGCAAGGGATGAAGATTCAGTGCGTCTGGCAGTGATTTTTGCCACTGTGCCCTGATTGCCTGGATTGTAGGACCTGCATTATGTGTGTTACTTTGGAGTGATTGGTTGATCTGACTCTCTGGTCTGCTTTTTGCCCACAAGCTGCCAAACCAGAAAGGAACCGGGATACAATCTGCACATTGGTGAAATCAAACTCTTTAGTTTCGTTACTTTTCATTTCATGGGAGAGTTTTGAAAAAGATATAATTCATTCATCAACGAACAAATTGGTTAACCCTGCACACAATGTGCATGCACGACAGCGTAGTTGGTTGTCATCGATGGTGTCTCTTTGAGTGATAGTTCAGAGGTGATGAATACGCTCTTAGAGTGTAGCTTGTGCCGCTCCTCATTCACCCCGTGGATGAAGAAGTGCCACGCCCTGTCGTGTACTTTGATATTAAACCAAAGTTTTGTGTGTAGACTATCCAATGAGACTTCATAGTTTTGTGGCAGAGATGCAATCTTCATCCTGTCATGTTTTGTGCAATTCTAGCGGGATCAGTACCCGCAGAGAAGATACCATAGTTGCTATGGTATCCAACTTGTGATCTTAGACCTGTTTTGGATGGGTCACGTGATATGTCACATGACCCTGTCCTTACCTAACAAGGGCTGGCTGGCTGGCTATTGGTGTTATTGTGTTCTTGCCATTGTTTAGTCATCTGTGTTTCTGTGCCCAATTGTGATGCACAGATGGTATGCATACCATTGTGATGACATCTAGTCTGCTGGAGGAATTTCCTGAATTTATTTCATAATTTGGAAGTTATTCAACTGATTGTCACCCTTAACAGTGAATGCAATTAGTTATGGTGTTTTGCCTGGGATTAAAAAATCAGTTTGAAAATGTGATACACAGTTGTTTTAAAATAGAAGAAACATCCAGGTTCTTGTCTCAGCAGACTAGGAACCATTATTGAATTGGTTTCTAAATTAAGGAACACTATGTCACTGTTTGAACTTCAAGGACATTCGTTACTTTGTTTTATTAGCTTGTTTGTTCACGATTCATGTTAAGCCGTTTTTTAAAGCTTTATTTATGAACATGTGCACATTTTTGTTTTCATAAATCAGTTACATTCTGGACATCTTTTACAACATATCTTGGGTGACATCATATTCTAAGACAAACATAAACAAATCCTATTCAAATTTGGCCTCTTAACCTCTAACAAATTGTCTAATCTGTAATTTACAAAATTTTGGGAGGTAAAAAATCTTCTTTGAAATATATTTGTTTTGGATGGGAAATCTTCAAAGGGCCAACTTTTCTACAAAATATGTTATAGTTTCATTCCACACAAAAAGGGAGTTTACAGAGAATGTAGTTCCACGGGTTTCATTACCTTTTCAGGTAATGTGTTTGGGGTATCCTTGTTGAGCACAAAATAAGTGTTGACTTATTTTTATTTATTTATTGGTACAATTGTTTCTGGTAGACTTGATTTTGCTTGTCCATTTGAATGAGCTCCTGGTGTACATATAACGTTGCCTTCTTCCTCCAGTCAGTCGGGCAATGTCCATCCTTATTCTGGGGACAAGAAGCAGGAGCACTAGCTCTCACCATTGCCAGCATGGTACCAATCTGACCAGTACACCTTGTACTAGTGTTAGCCACTCACAGTGTTATCCAGGTGTGCGAGTGTTGTAAGCTCAAGCTCTATTCATCATTGTCATCAGTGTTATATACACAGCATAACATGGACTCAACATGCTCAGCCTGTTTATTGGAACATTTCTTACACCTGTTCAAGGTTGTTAGATAATCCCTCGGAGTTTCATTTCTCAGGTGGGCGGTGGGGTGGCCAAGTGGTTAAAGCGTTTACTCGTCACGCCGAAGACCCGGGTTCCATTCCCCACATGGGTACAATATGTGAAGCCCATTGCTGTGTCCCCTGCCGTGATATTGCTGGATTATTGCTAAAAGCAGTATAAAACCATACTCACTCACTCATTTCTCAATAAGTATTGCTCTTCTGATATACACAAAGTGTTGGTTTCTAATTTAAATACAAATTTTTACACACATTTTATAATGACCCATTGTTCATGGTTTTGAGCCTCATGGTTTTGAGTTACTCTTGTGTGCTGTGCAAAAACTAGTCTTGGCGTCCCCAACTATGATATTTTGAGAGCATTGTAAATCCAGCACACTTACTCACTCACTCAGGTTTCCTTCATATACTATAGATACTATAGGAATTGTGCACACAAGGTCTACAAGTATTTCCACAGAGTTTGGAAACACATAGCCTTTCGTGTAGAGAAAATTGACATATTTCTAGACATCACTTTTGAGCACATAAGTCATCGACCTGTAAATAATTTCAGTTCTATGCTACAGTATTCTGTGTGATAGTGAGATCAGTTTGTGGATTGGTTGGATATCAGTGCTTGTTGCTATATCATGATAAGTATAGTTGACAATGAGTTCCTTACTCATGCCTGTCCAAAATGTATAAATTTTGTATATTTGGATTGTTTTCATAACTTCATGCTAGTGTTCATAAATCTTGGTAAAGATATTTTGCAACAATAAATTTTTTTTTAGAAATTTGTGAAAATACTAATGGTACAATAATGAGTGTTCATAGCTACTGTAGGACAATGATGCATAGAGCTTGAACTGCAGTGTGAGCGCTGTGTGTTCTATCTGAATGCTAGAGTATAGCCTACATGTGATACGGTCAAGTACTGTCGGTGTTGTTAAGTCATGCAGTGTAGCATCTGCAGCCCATGTAGGGACTACAAGACCCATCAGCATCCAGCTGGTACAGATGTAGTTTGCTTGTCAGATGATTTCTGGGACTGGCTGTCATTTTTACTTAAAGAAAACTGATTTCATTGTGAAGCTATTTTCCTATCTGTGGTCTGAACAGGAAGACAGTCACCACGTCACCATCCTGTCATCAATGGCTTCTTCGTGGGCTGCTTGCAAGACAATCAAAGGGCCATCGTGATCCACTCAAGTACTTTTGCTGTGATGCAAAATGGGATGTTTGCATCAATAAAAGACATACTGATAGATATAAGATCATGGTGTCCTTTTCCTTTTGACTGGAATCTTTTTGTCAAATCACAAGTACTAGCACAAACTCAACCATCACATGACAAAGAAGCCATGACTGCCACTCATTTTGAACATCACAAATTCTTCCTTATATACTGTTTCTCACTATTTCTTACATATTTGGGATGAATATTACAGAAATACTAAAGTTATGTATCAACTGGTTACCTTCATGATTATTTACATCTGTTAAAGTTGGTTGCAAAGTTCTAATTAGTGTTTATGGTATATTTCCCAGGCATTAAAGATATGGTAGATTTGGATAACTCAATCTGAGGGTTGGTTCTGGTGTCAATATATATACACTAATCAAAACAAGTTAAGGAACGTACATTTTTCATATGACTTATATTAGTCTGTCATGGCCTGTGGGTATTGCAATCAACAGACCCCAGTAGTGGGTGTCCTTTAACTCGATTTGCGTGATCAGTAGCATACTTTCAGACTGGTTAAGCATGTTAAACATATCAAGTATTGAGATGGAATAAATAGAACTCTTCAGTCAAAACTACATTTCAGAATTTCACGGAACCAATTTAAGTAAATGTTAACTTCAGTGATTTCATTTAGACTTCAACCCAGATTGTTGTGATCTTATAAGTAGATTATCATATCTAACATCTGAAAGATTTCCAGGGATAGAAAAATAAGATATATTTTCAAAAGTCCACAAAGATGATCTGCTACAGAAGTTCCATCAAGCTGATAATAAAAGTGGTAAATATGAAGTCCTTAAGTTAACTAGTCTTGGACCTGATATCTGATATTCAGAGCCATGTGAAACCACTATGAATTTTCACAGAACACATTTCAGTCGCAGAGCTGAAGGTTGGATGGAGGTGATTGATAATGTCTGAGTGAAGGAAACATTCAGTCTCTGTAGGCCAGTCCCAGTCTACCTAGAGCAGGACAGACACATTGTGTAGACTTACTGAGTGTTAGCTATTTGCAGTACTGTGATATGTACATAGAAACATCAGATGTCACCTCACCATCTGTTCTTCAGCATGTTCGGGTATGGATTGAGCAAGGCTTGGTCAGGTCAGACTCAGTGGTTGAAGAGGCATCGTTGTCAGTGTCAGAGAATAGCTGGGGGATACATATCTGATGCTATCTGTTTTAGGATGGCCAGTAGGTATTGAGAGGAAAGATCCAGTAGTAAATCTGGGAACACATCGACAAGTTGTGCTCAAAGTGTCTGGTAATTATTTGTCCATATGACACATGCTCTGTTTCCTCAGTGTAATGACAACATTTTACAGATGAGAATATATGGCATCTTAGTTCAGTCCCAGATGCAAATGATATGATTTACTACCTGGATGCCAATACAGTTCAGATAGGTTCCTGAATTATATATGTGGTCTCAACATGGAAATAGAGTTGTTACTGTATCACTGCCCACTCAGAAGTGTGACCTGACCTTCACCTTGACATCCTATCTTAAGAGACTGCAGTCAAAGACATTGTGTGTCCACTTGATCATTGTGTCAACTCCTAGGTATGGAGAGAACTCCTTGCTAAGCTTAGATGTGTATTTTTGTTGCCCCTGTCAAATCCTGCAATAAAGCTTGGCCCTTACATCAGCTTGTCTGTTTTTATTCCTGTTCAATGCACTGCACACAGGAAACCTAAAGTTCTTACAACCCCCTGGCAGTAATGTAATAGAGGTAACATTCTTAAAATTATTAATGTAAACAATTGTTCCAATATCTATAAACTACTGCTACACACAAGTAAGTCAGGCATGAAAAATGCTAGACACATGGAACCGGAAGTGGTAAGTCAATCTAATCCCATGTTCGGCTACATTGATGGAGGTGAGTGAAGTGCACGTAATATATCCCATGTGGCGGCATTAAGTCTTCATTAAGTGAGGATTGGCTTGTTTCCATTCATATACATCAGGATCGATGCTCATGCTGTTGATCACTGGATTGTCTGGTCCAGACTCGATTATTTACAGACCACCGTCATATAGCTGGAATATTGCTGAGTGCGGCGTAAAACTAAACTCACTCACTCATATACATCAGAAAGGGAACACAAATTGTCAGAGACCTTGTCACAACTGTTGCCTCATGAAGAAATAGATATACTCTTCAGGGAAGCATTTTAATTTTTTGTGTTTCTCATCGCCCGACCAACCCTTCTACTTTTAATGCCAACCCTCTGGTCCGTGCCTTTCTCAAAGGTGTAGACAGGGCAGGACCAGAACGGAGTGAAGACACTCAGAGGGTCAGGGGAACGGATAAGGGGCACATATCTTCTGTAGCAGCACTTGGTCTGCATTGAGCATTGGCTAGTTTCGATTAGTATTCATTTAAAAGCGAGCCACAATAACTTCCCGAGGGACCCCTCGTCTGTGGGCCTTCAAAGAAGTTTGTGAAGTGCTCACAATATATGCCATGTGGAAAAAGTGAGTGAGTGACTTGGGTTTATGACGTTATTAGCAATGTTCCAGCAATATCAACAGAAATGGGTTTCACATATTGTACCAATGAGGGGGATCAAACCCAGGCCTTCGGCATGATGAGCAAACGCTTTAACCACTGGGCTACCCAACCGCCTTACCATGTTGAAAGACCAATTTCAATCATTTGAGAGAGAGCTGCCAAATATTACTTGTAATTAATATTTCTTAGGAAGCATAATAGCATTGCAGGTGAAAATTGCCACAATTATACACTCCACCTATGTCTTAAGTCATGAGGCTCACAGTTTAGACTAAGAACTGAAACAAACTATGTATCTTCTTTTGTTTGAAAGAAATGTTTTGTTTTTAATACAGGGACAAGAGGGTCCCGAAAAGACAATTTTTATGAATATTCATGAATCATAGTGTATAAACCAATTAAGACAGCCTCCAGAGGACACCAGTATTAACACATAGCATCCATTTGTAGTGAGTGAGTGAGTATGGTTTTATGCCACTTTTTAGGAATATTCCAGCATTATCACGTCTGGGGACACCAGAAATGGGCTTCAGACATTCTACCCATGTGGGGAATCGAACCAGGGTCTTAGGCGTGACAAGCCAAAGCTTTAACCACTAGCCTACCCCACCGCCCCGCATCCATTTGTAGACAACATAGCGTGTGAAATACTATCTCACCTTTAATTGCATCAAATAAAAACAAAAAAAGATGATTCTTATGTAGAGTGTTTATTATTAGCTGCCAGCAGCACATAGAAGCAAAAGACAGTAACAGATATTTTAACAAATCTTTGTTACAAATATATAAAAAGATAACTCAAGTGAACAAAATGCTGGACGGACGCCTTGTAATGCTGATTGGATATAACGTGTATATATGAGGTCAACATTCTGCACTTTCCAGAGTGGGTAGTGTTGACAACACTTTGGAAAGAATGTCAGTTATTTCATTGTTATAAAATCCCTAAACCGATACAGGTGATATACATGTATGACTTTGGTGGAACCCTAATGACAGGTAAGGGGCTGACATTCATAACTGGAAACCTTAAAAAATGTTATTAAAATTGACTGTTTTCTAATAACAAAGAATTTGTATTTGGATATTTTGATTTTAGGTCAAACAACAATTACTTGTCATATCATGGTTTAATCAATATCATTCCTTGCATGATAAATAATTTATTAAACACCTATCAGAAAAAATATATTTTGATTTGTTTCTGAGGCACATTGGGTTGACTCATGATTACCTCATTTCATACACAGTGGATTAATAATGGTAAATGCAGCAAAATGTAGTTTTGATTATAGCTAAAATGCAATGTGATAAAAATAGCATTTCAATGATAAAAATATTGCAAAATGAAATCAAATAAATTCAAATAAAGCGATGCCATCACACAACATGTTGAATTATACAACAAAGTCATTTAGATAAAACATTGTAAACTGAATGTCATACTTGCAAAGGAAAGTGTTAAACATCTAGTTAACAAATACTGTCAATATTACAAAAAGGGGGATACTCTCTACATGCTAAAAACAAGCAAAGAGCTATCTTTATCTTACCAAAAAGGGAGTACCGATCATTTATTACAGTGTTGAGGTGGTCAAAATTTTCTGATTCACTAACGTACCAAAATTAATTATCCTCATCTATTACCGTTCATGTTTTTTATTACCTCTCCATATCCTTGTATATTATTTTCACGACCCTCCCGAACAAGACAAAATGCAAAAGCACTTTATATCATATAACATCCATTTATTCATGACCCTCCCAAATATGCGTATTACTTGTTATATCACTCCTCATTCAGTGACTCCACCCCTGATTCCCTCTGACTCACTCACCAATATATAATATATGTCTGGATCCTTAGTACAATCTAGGTTAATCAAGCTAAGCAAGCCCCTTTGCTTGCTATTGTCAAGAGCATAATGATCCCAGCTCCATGGTCCAGTTCTACGTAAAGGACTCCCACAACCATTAACAAAATGATGAATAGATGACAAACGTCATTCAAAAATAACGTGGAATTACACCAAGTGGCTATCACAGATGTCTTTAAAGGCATAAAAATCACACATATAGTGATGTAAAAACACATAAAATATCACATAATCAGCTGTAATAAATTTAGTATTATATTTTCCTCCCCATCTGCGTCATAACAAACACCTGACTCCAGTACGTCCCTATGTGTAGGTATGAGCATAGATTTGTGACCTGCTCTTCAAAGTACTTGCTGAAAAGAATGCATATACAGTGGTAAACCAAACCAAACAGTCTTCATCTGAATCATATTTTTCATCATATGATGTTCAAAGATGCCTGAAATATTTTATTTAAAAGTATATATATTTTAAATGCTCGAAACAAAACTTTTGTTAACAATGGGGATGGAAAAGTAATAACTAATTTATTGCAGCATTACTATAACAATGACAGGTAAAATTCTTGTAGAATCATAAATATTTTCATTATAAGAAACAATTTCTTTCAACTTTGTTAATACAAAAACATGGATGACTGTATCAATAGATATCAACAATATTTTCCATTTCCCATACCAATCAATACACTCTGATACAGTACAGTATTGGTAATTCCTGTTTCCATCAGGAACAACAAAATTAACAAGTTACAACAAAGTTTCATTACCTTGGTAACAACTTCAGGACTTGTCATACAGTTTCTTGATACTATTCCATCTTTCACAATGGTGGTTTGCCAGCTAACCATGACTTCAAGACACTGATATTCAATGGAATATTATGCACCCATAATTCTGGTGTGACAAGTGAAAATGAAAAATAGATTAATTGTAACATAAACCTAAGCACAATCATAACTTTTTAAACTGGTTCATTATTGGAAAAAAAAACATTCCCAACTCAATTATCTAATTCAGGCAATTGGAAGACAATATAAAAAGATTATCTTCACTTTGGTCCATTGCAACGCATGTTTGAAATTTCAGGATATATTTTTATTATAATGTGCATTTTTATATTAAGAATAAATTAGCAAAGTAATGACTAATTTGTCCCTTGAATAATGGAGCCATAGTCATTTGTAAACACCCTTTGTGATGCACTGCTCCACTGCACACAATTCAAACTAATACCATGACCACTTGCGGTAAATTCAGCCCTTATGTTTGTAATTCTGCCAACCATCTGATACAGTACCACACTTAAACTTGTATAACAAGACCTGATAACATTCTCAGGGAGAGGCATCCTCTGTAACAGTTTCATCACTAACAGTCGTGATCATCACACATTAACTTCCATATTGCTAAACATCTACATACATAGTTGTCATCTCTGTATCAAAAGAGTGTTGTTCATTTAAATTGTAGTTAATGCACATTGATGCTAACATCATTTGGAGTATTAGATACGGTAAAACTTGTACGTCATCCAAAGGTCAAGGACACTAATGGGTGCTAAGGTCACATTGAGGTGAAGGTCACTTTGTGTCTATAGTTTCTTCTTCCTGTCAGCATAAGATCCTGCACTGCTGGGTGATCGTGAAGACCCCTCTCCGGAGTCCTCATGGAATCCACTGCGAGTGAATACAGTCTGTCGGCCTCGTACCTGGAAAACACAACAAATGGCCTTCATGTTTTTTTAAAACAAAACGAACAACTAGCCAGTATGGGGGTCAATGTTTTCTCAACTGAAGCCTAAATTGGTAAGTGAGGTCAACTTTGTTAGCCTATTGAGCCTCAGTAGTGACTAAACTAGTAATTGCTTACAACAGATGACCAAACATTCTGCTTAGCTCACTTAAAAAGCTAATGCGAAAAGCTGTCTTTTACAGCTTCCCATAATACAAACACACTCCAGTTACTGAATCTATAAGCAGAAAACATTTCCCTTTATGCTTAACCCAGTTAATCTCAGTTTCGTCACCCCTTTCAGCATTACAACCCCTAGCACGAATACTTCTCATTACATTGCAAATTAAAATTCCTTTTAACTCAGCTGATGACACAAACAGGAAAAAAGGTCTGACTGATACAATATATTTTTAGGCCAAGTGAAGGCCAACCCATCTTTAACCAAACTCCATTTCAACCTCATGAAGCACACTTAATCTCACTGTGCAATCATATGCAATGTCAAGCCAAGATCGAGGTGAGGTGAGGTGAGGTGAAATTGGGTTTAACGTCGTGCTTGAGAATATTTCTCGTCAAGCCAGGATCAAACCAATTCAACACTGTTCAACCAACCGGTACCTAATGAAGTTCTGAATCAACATGGTGACCACGATTATGTTTAGTCCTCAGTCAAACTCCACTGTTGCTGTGAGGCTGTACCTACCTTGTGAAGGCTCACCTGGGAGCCCATGAAGTTCTCGAGGTCCTTGGCACCTCGTTCTAGAGCCACCTTCACATCCTTGTCCATACCAGGGATCGATATGTCCCCAAACACCTATGAACAGATGATAGTAGAAATATAATAAAGGTTAACTGGTTTTCAAAACCAATACACAGAGAAAGTGACCATCATGATTACACTTGCCCAAAAACAAAATACAGTGAATTATGTTTATAACGAAGACATTTATGGGGAATTGGCAGATGTTATAAACTGTCTCTTCTGTCATGCATATAAAGGAAGTAGTTATAACAAACTCAAAGGGACAGCTAATTTTAGTTTAAACTATAGTTTGCTGTACTGTCAAATGAAAAAAATAACTTTACACAAACAAAAGCATTATTTAGTCAACCATTAACTGGCATCATCGACACATGGCATTTCAGTACGGCAATTTCAAATTGTGAGCATCCTTAGAAAGAATCGTTTCTGTGTTTTCTTAAGAAACTGAGAACATTATTGTAAATTTAAGTTGCTATCAGCACTCGTTTTTGGGATCTAATTTGCTCGAGAAATGCCAGAGATTGAACATGTACTGAGGAACAGTAACGTTGTAGTGACGCTGCTGAAGGAGTCCTGCCTACCTCTACAATGGCCCCATCAGGGAGACGCAAGAAGTGTCGGTACAGCTCACGGAGGCCGTCCAGGTGGATGGTGTGGATGGCAACATGGGTGGTGATCTCTTTCCTGTTCTCTGTCTTCACCCGGACCTCCTCCCCACTCTCATCCCAGATGTTCTCCTCCAGCTGGGGAACACAAGGCACATGACATGCAGACAGTTTCACACCTGCGTCTACTCATTATGTACCTGATTGTTGCTGTTGTCTCTTACTAGCACTTTTGAAATGTTAGTGATGAAAACAATTTACCTTCTACCCCTAGCATTAACAAACAGAAATCTAAATAACTTTCAGATGCCAGATTTCCCCTGTCCCTTTTCCTCCCCATTAGGGGGGTAGTGGGGCTAGTGGTTAAAGTGTTCGCTCATTACGCCGAAGATCTGGGTTTGGTTCCCCACATGGGTACAATGTGTGAAACCAATTTCTGGTGTCCCCTGCCGTGATATTGCTGGAATATTGCTTCCTCCCCTCCAGTTACCCATCCCCCTTCCTCCCCTCCTTCCTCCCCAAAGTACCCAGTTACCCCCTGTCCCTCTTCCTCCTTCCCACAGATACCCATCCTCTTCCTCCCCACCAGTTATGTCTCCCTCCCCACCCCCACCAGTTACCCATCCCCTTCCTCCCCTCCAGTTACCCATCCCCTTCCTCCCCTCCAGTTACCCATCCCCTTCCTCCCTCCAGTTACCCCCCTGTCCCTCTTCCTCCCTCTTCCTTCCCACAGTTACCCATCCCCTTCCCCCCCAGTTACCTCCCCCTTCCTCCCCTCCAGTTACCCATCCCTCCTTTCCCACCAGTTCCTCCCTCTCCAGTTACCCCCTCTTCCTCCCCTTACTGTCCCTCTTTCCTCCCTTCCACCAGACACCCATCCCTCTTCCTCCCCTCCAGTTACCCATCCCCTTCCTCCCCTCCAGTTACCCACCCCTTCTCCCAGTTACCCATCCCTCTTCCTCCCCTCCAGTTACCCGTCCCTCTTCCTCCCTCCAGTTACCCATCCCCTTCCTCCTCCTCCCAGTTACCCATCCCTTCCTCCCTCCAGTTACCCATCCCTTCCTTCCTCCCTCTTCCTCACCCTCCAGTTACCCATCCCCTTTCCTCCCTCCAGTTACCCATCCCCCCTCCCCTCCTCTCCTTACCCCCTGTCCCTCTTCCTTCCCACTAGTTACCCTCCCCACCCTTCTTCCTCCCTCCCCCACCAGTTCCATCCTCTCTTCCTCCTCCTCAGTTACCCATCCCCTTCCTCCCCCCCAGTTGTCAGTTACCCCTTCCCCAGTTCCTCCCTCTTCCTCCTCCAGTTACCCTGTCCTCTTCCTCCCTCCAGTTACCCCTGTCCCTCTTCCTCCCCACCAGTTACCCATCCCCTTCCTCCCCTCCAGTTACCCATCCCCCTTCCTCCCCTCCAGTTACCCCTGTCCCTCTTTCTTCCCACTAGATACCCATCCTTCTTCCTCCCAACCAATTACGTCTGTCTCTCTTCCTCCCCACCAGTTACCCATCCCTCTTCCTCCCCACCAGTTATGCCTGTCCCTCCTCCTCTCTACAAGATATCCCTGCCCCTGTACTTCCTAAACCCCATCAGTCACCATTTCCCTTACACATGTTATATACTCACATCTTCTTCCTCCCATACATAGTCATACACTGCCACTTTGCGCCTCTCTCCTTCCTCCCCTCGCCACTGCTCAGCTCTCCTACAGATGTAGTGGAGCTCCTGGTTAGATAATTCCAGGTCATACGGCACGAAAAAGTGTTCCTCATCACCATGGAGACGCCAGAAGATGTCCAGCATACGACCATTGTTATGCAGTCTGAAAGTAAAACATTAGGCTGCTATGTATGGCTGCAAGCTTGTACAAGGTGTCAGTGTATATCTGTGTGAACTGAAAGTGCCAATACAGTCAAAAAAACAATATCGGTGCTGCACATGAGACTAAATATTCATGTACAAAATTCCAGCCTACCAGGCATTTTAGGTAGGCTAAGTATCTCTTGAGCCTGACTTGGATGTAGATGTGGTCTGCCAAATGTGCTGTGTAGATGATCACAACTACACAGGGTTACAATACAAATATACTACCCATCAAAAGTTTAGACTCACTAATGTAAATGTAGCCACTTACTTCAGTCAACTGTTCTAAACTAGATTTTGCAAAATATTCCATAAGGTTTAAAGGTACTGTTTACACATGAATTGATGTATTGTAAAACAAATTCGTAACGTTGAAAAGATTATTGTTTTAATGATGAAACTAAGTGACAATTGACGAATTCTTAACAAAACTTAACACCAAAACACAGCTGTTCTCATGCACGATATTTGTACATGCTTTTCTGCAATTTGATGCATGATCCTCGTGCAATTCATCTGCATAAGGTTTGCAGTTGGTTCCCCCAAGTTAGTGGAAAAATTCATCTTCTATGTAACCATATATATATACAATACATAAAGTGAGTGTTTTAAGTGAGTCTAAACTTTTGATGTGTAGTATATAAACACTCCTGACTCAAGATGCCTCCTCCCACCTACCTGAGGAAGTACATGTAGAGGACAGATCCGGCCATGAAGCTTGTGAAGATGTAGAGGAAGACAGTGATGAAGATGCCCGCCAGGCCAGACCCCTGGGCTCTGTAGAAGTGCCAGTACAGTTTAGCAGCATCAGCTAGGGGCTGAGTACTGTCGTTCAGGTAGGTCTGGGGCCACAATTAGACAGTATCTCCATGAAGTGTACATGATGAAGCTACCCTTCTCACACTTAAACCACATTGCTATCACCTACAGGAGTAACGCAGATCAATGGCCTTGATACATTTTTAGAACATCCTCAACCATAAACAATCACAGTTGGAGGTGTCAGAGAATTATGTTAAAGCTACATCTTTAGTATTTTGTTTGTTGGTTGGTTGTTTAAAGCTGCACCCTGCTATACTCCAGCTACATGGCAGTGGTCTGTAAATAATTGAATCTGGATCAGGCAACCAAGTGATCAACATCATGAGCATCGATCTGCACAATTGGGAACCGATGGCATGTGTCAACCAAGTCAGCAAGCCTGACCACCCGATCCCGTTGGTCGCCTCTTAAGACAAGCATGGGTTACTGAAGATCAATTCTAACCCAGATCTTCACGGGTACATCTTTAGTGACCACAGTAACACATTATAGTCATATAAGGTGCATACTGAATGACTATGATACGTGCATAATAATTTCAGGGCAATTTTACAGATCTGCATCTGAATATGAGTGAGTGAGTGAGTTTAGTTTTATGCCTCACTCAGCAATATTCCAGCTATATGGCGGTGGTCTGTAAATAATCGAGTCTGGACCAGATAATCCAGTGATCAACATGAGCATCGATCTACGCAATTGGGAACTGATGACATGCGTCAACCAAGTCGGGAGCCTGATCACCCAATCCCATTAGTCGCCTCTTACGATAAGCATGGGTTACTGAAGATCAATATTCTAACCCAGAATATGAATGCATATGTTATGAAACCTATGTAACAAAACCTATGTTACCAAACCTATGTCAAGCCATCCATACATAACGATGTGTTTACTGTATAACATCCTCCAACCCACCTGCATACAACAGTCCACAATTAGAATGAAGAGAGGGTCGAGGCATGTGAAGAGGCCAAAGGAGATGACGAACTTGGAGCAGAGGTCGGGGAAGATGGAGAAGATCTTCGGACAGATCCAGGCAAACACCACCAGCAGGCAGAAGACGAGGATGTTGATCAGGGGCCCGAAGAACACCACGGCGATCTCCTCTCTGGCTCGCAGCAGCGTGGCCTGGTAGTTCAGCTTCACAGTGTAGGGCAGGAACTCAAATCTGGGGGCAACAAACATGGTAACCAACCATGGAAATGTGTGTGTGTTTGTGAATAATCTAGGGAAAGGACTAGCCACTAGGGCTGCAACGAATCATCCAGAACTTGATTCGATTCGATTATCAATATTGGACCCTCAATTCGATCATTTTCAATTTGATTCTTCATACAAGTAAAAACATCAGAATTCATTTAACTCTCAGAGTCAGCTTTTTTAGCGTGAAACTTGGCAATGTATACAACAACAATTCTCATTGAAAAATTAGCCTGGCGTCAACCAATCATGTTTCACCATATTTCAGCGCTCGAAACTGCTCAATTTGGAGTCAAAATTACATTCTGGCTGTGTGGAAATAATTTAAATAGGTATTGAAATATCGAATCGAAATAGTGATAATGCTTATCAAAAATTGAAACCAAGGTTCTGACCCCATGACCTCCCTCACATGATTTTCGCGACACTCACTTGTTGATGGGGATGGAGATGGCGCTGAGGAAGAGCCACTGGCCGACGTAGTGGAGTGTCATCGTCAGGAAGAACACCAGGATGAACATCAGCATCATGCCCCAGAACTCCCGGCTCCGCCACTGGGACAGACCCAGCTCCGCAAGGAACTGGCGGCGGATGTAGCTGAACTTCTCACGACCATTCTGAGCCAGGCGACCCTTGCCGCTGAACGGAGGTCTGAGAAGGAGATGTTAGAGTGAGTGAGTTAATAGCAATGTCAAATCCACCTGCACTGTGTAACTTTACCTGGATGTAATGATTTACAAAACTTTTGGTACATCACATTCTCTGTGCCATGATACAAGTATGCATGGTTGACATATTTTGTTTGTTATTTCACGCAGCACTCAGCAATATTCCAACTAGCGGTCAGTAAATTATGTAATTTTTAGAGTAAAATTGATATTTTATACTTATCCTGACTCATGCTCTTTTGCTTGTCTTCTTCTTCTTGCGAACATAGTGGAACACTTGTATCTCCTTATTTGAAGCTCCCTTCAAAATAAAATCACTAATTGGTACTCACCACGAGTTGCTCCCCTTTGCTTCCCCTGGCGGGAAAGGTGTCGCCACCCTCTGGCCATGTGCTCCACTCTCCTGATTTAGCGAGCCCAACACTTGAATTTACAGGAAATCCAAAGTGTTATGTGGGAGGATGGAGGGTTAACCTCATGAGTCAGGATAAGTATAAAATATCAATTTTACTCTAAAAATTACATATTTTCCCTTATCCTGACTCATGCTCTTTGCTTGTAGCATCCTAATGGAACGGAGGTGGGTAACATAATACTTTGGATTTATAATTAGTGATTTTGTATAGATATACTGTAATATCCCCTCACGGAACTTCATGAAGGCTTAGATTTAGGATGTTTCCTGTATAAAGAAACCATAGGTTATATAAAGCCATTAAAGGGGAATTACATTATGAATATATTGAACAATACATATAAATTATATATATATATATAGGTGACTCTGATAGAGGCACTGAAATTGACTATACTGAAAGTATATGCTTAAGGTTGAATACTTAAGCTGAACATATATACATAGCCCTAAAACTCCGTAGAGTTATAAGCTAGATGAGTATGTATAAAATACATATTAATCTTGTGAGGATAATATTTTAACGCTTCAACGAGGGACTGTCAGTTGCTGAGCCGGGACCAGTGGTCCTAAATGGTGAATGCCAGAGACATCTTCTGTAGTGATGTCTCTCAGGTAGTGATTAGCAAATACCATGTTAGATTTGCAATAGCATCCTTCCATAATCGCAGTTCAAGGAACAGTTACCGTAGGGCGCAGGGTAGAGGCCAGTGCCCTGATCTCATGTGGATTTGATGCTGTTGGTGGGTCCAAGCCTGCTGCCTTGTAGGCACGGAGAATGAGAGTCCTTATCCAAATAGATATTGTGGTCCGTGACACTTCTGTTTGATTCGTGAGGCTTATAAGGGATGAATAAACGCTTGAGAAATCTTCTCCTTGTTTTGGATCGTCAGAAATAAACTTTGAGCTCTTACCGGACACAGTGATAGGTCTTGTGTATCTTGTGATCCGAGAATAGAGGATAGCCGGATGTGGAATAATCTGTCTGGTTGACCTGGCAGTTGATTTTTTTGCGATGAAATCCCATCTTAATCCGAGGTGCGCTGTGTTATGATTGTCATCAAACTGTATCCTCGTAATCCAGAGCCGCGAATTTCAGACATTCTTGCTGCTGTGGCTAGCGATAGCAGAAACAGTGTTATCTGTGAGAGAAATTCAAAGTTTGTCGATTCCAAAGGTTCATAGACCTCACTCGTGAGGTGTTGTAACACTACATTCAGATCCCAAGCTGGGCGTGGAACTTCCGCTTTGGTCCTCCAATCGAAAGCTCGTAGTAAGGCCAGTAACTCTGGAGATCTTGTCAATTTGACACCCGCTCTCATGGTGATTACAGAACTAAGCCGCAAAGATATGTTGATATCGCTGAACCTTTAAATGTTTGTTTTGGCGTAGGTAACACAAATAGTCTGCCACTTGGAGGTTGTGAAGCCTCTTGCTGTAAACCCTTTCTTTGTTGCATAATTTTCAAACTGTGCCACTTGTCGCCGTGACAAGCCACGAGTTGAGTAACGTAGGCAAGCGTTGACTGCTTTTGCCGCCCTGGCAGAATATCCTCTTGTTTAAACACATTTGTATACAGTCCATACGTGTGTAGTTGGAACATTGCTGGGTTTCCGCAGCACTTGTTTGGTGTGAGGATGAATTAACAGGTTTGCGCTTGGGGTAGCTCCAGTGTTGGTTGACCGATTTCTTGAATTAGTATGGGAAACCACGCTCTGGCCGGCCAGGTAGGGCGACCAAAGTGAGTTGTGGGCTCTGTGTTTGTCTGATTTTCTGTAATACTTGAGGTATTATTGCTGGCGGCGAAAACGCTGCACGCATTGAGGCCTTCCCATGATAGACTTAGAGCCGCCCGCTGCCCGCTTGGGGTCTGGGACTGGTGACACCTAATGTCGGTAGCTGATTGTTGAATCGCTGCGGGCTTAATAGGTCTATTAGCGGGCGCCCTAATTGCTTGATTATCTGTGCAAAATTTCCCTGTTGATCATCCACTCTGTCGGTGATGGTAGATGAGGCCGCAGAGAGAGCCGCCTGCTAGTATATTTCTGGCTCCGGAATGTGCACTGCTCTGACATGTAGATTTAGATCTTGTATTAAATCTAACAGTTGAAAGCTTAGGTTCAAAAGGTTCATCGATCTCGCTGAGCCTTTGCTTGTTTATGTAGAACGCACCGTCTAATTGTCTGTATGGATCATTAGGCCGCATTTTGTAGAAATGTGCTCCAATGTAGAATGGCTGATTACAGCTTTCATTTCTAGACTGTTTATATGGAGTTTGCATTCTTGCTGATTCCATAACCCTGATATCGCGGTGGTTGGTGAGATGAGCTCCCAACCTTGGAGTGACGCTGCCTACATACAGATGGGTTTTGTATTCCTGCTCTGCTAAACAAATCCCTTCGCAGACATTCGATTTCTGGTCCACCATAGTAGATGCGGTCTGAGATGTTTCGTAGACTGAATGGTTGTACATCGCTGAGATGTGCTGATGAGGACCCGTAGGGGACGTGACTGTAATCTGCCCGTGACAGTCATGTCTTGGGCTGATGTGAGAAGACCTAGTAGGCTCTGCCATTGTCGCGAGTGGTAACGAGAGAGTAGAGCTGGTGGAATGGTCTGCTGTATCTTGAGCCAACGGTCTTCTGGTACCATAATACGGGTTATGATTTGTGATGAATCAATACCTAGGAACTGCAGGTCTTGGCGATGGTACTAGGTCCCACTTTGCGTAAGTTTACTAACCAACCTAGTTGTGTTAGTAGCTTTATGATGTAATTTAACTGTAGTTTGAGACGCAGTGATCTTGATCTACTTGTATCCCGTCCGTCGAGGTAAAACGCATCAAGCGAGCTCCTTTGACGATGTAGAAATTTGATAATCGGTTTCGCTATCCTCGCGGAATAGCCAGGGCTGATGATATTCAATGGGAGTACTTTCCACTGGTAATGTAGCCCTTCTAGAGTAAATCGTGAGGTATTTCCTGAATCGGATGAATGGGGATGTGCAGGTAGGCATCCTGTAGATCTATGCTGCCCATGTAGTCCATAGGACTAATCATCTGGCGAAGCTGAGGTAAATGTATCATGCCAAACTTTGGTGGTTTGGCGTAGATAGTTCTTGTTGAAAAAAGCTCATGTTGTAGATGAGTCTGTATTCTCCGCGGAGTTTTTCTTGGGAACCAGGAAAACTGGGGAGTAGAAACCTGGTTCGACGCTTGTTTGATCGGTATTACTTCTATGGCCTGTTTGGATAGGGAGTGATGAAACAGCCTCTCTTATCTTTGGTAGTTGTTGCGCTTTGTAAATCAACTTGGGGGTTTGATTGTCAGCGAGGCTTGGCCTGTAGAGGGATACGAACCGTGTTGAAGAATGTTGGAGACGAAGGGTCTTGCAATATTCCCCAGTTTTCCCAGTGTAGTTGGAGGCCCACCCACTTGAGTTGGCTGTACTGGAACGGGCTGGGGTGGAAGACTCAGTCGTTCAACCTGTGTTTCAGCTGCCTATAATTGCGGAACCTCTGGGTGTCCTGCCTCTTCCTGATCCTCCTCTATAGTTGCCATATGGGCTTACTTAAAAGAATCTTTACCTCTAGAGCTGGCTATCTTCCTGTCTCTTGCTCTTTGTAGGCCCGTGAACTTAGATCTGCCTGAGTATCTTTGTGAAGTTCGATCTAATGACGCTGGCTAGTGTATCCATCGATCTAATCATAAGGACTTCCTGGAATCCTTAGAGACTTCCTTGGCTTAATTTTGTCGCATTTCTCCGGCCAAAGATGGATGTTGCTCCACCATGGGGCTGTATAAAGTGGGCTGTAAAGTTCTCCCCAATTACAGGAGGCTTAGGAGGCCTTGACGACGAAGCCAAGGTGGGTGCTGCTGAAACAGATGCAAGATGATCCGCTAAAACTGCTGATCTTTTTCTTTGCATAAGTAAGGCAGAATAAATCATTCTATCATCTTCCTCGCCGTGGAATCCCGAATCTAGTAATAAGAGTCTCATTGATCGCCCTAGATCTATTTAACCCAAAGAACATACGCCTCGGCCATGGTTTCTATATGAGCCAACTTCATGCATCATCCATCTTGTAAATCTTGTTCTTTACATCGCTGATGATCTTATAGTTCTCATCGATGTCCTGGGCCTTGTAGAAGGAGTCCATGTTATGGAGAACTTCTTGGCTTGAAAGTTGGGCAGATGTGGTATCTGAACTTTCGTGAGCTTTCTGGAAAGCTGCATCTAGATTCTGTGGCACTGCCGCAATCGGGTCGATCGGGGTAGAGTGATTGCATCTGATCATCTTCCTTCATCAAATACGCCTCAAGGCGCCGTATTGCCACTTTTAGATGGTGATGTGAGATCTAGGTTATTGACCATCCAATACCGTGATTCTGCATCAGAAAATATGATTCTCCATCATCCTCAAACCATCATCATTAACAAATTGTGGATGCTTCTTCGACCGCGCGTAGCTGTCTGTATATCTGATGAGGTTTGTATGCGATCTAGTTGACTTGTGCGCTTCATGTGGAGATCTGACGGTGATCGCCTGGTGATGAACGGCGGAGATCGCCTATGGGATGATCTCGAGACTTGTGAGGTGAATGTTGATAGCTTCAAAGCTCTTCGCAGTCCCTCGATGTTCTTCTAGATGATGAGGATCTGAACATATGTCCTTTCGCTAATGCCTTCGCCGAAGCTTCATTTGCGTCCCGGTCCGGGATCGATGATATGACCTTCGCTGGCTGCCTCCGCGGATGTCTGATGGTCTGAGTCCATATTCAGAGATGAAATCGAAGATGGTGATGATTTTCCCGCGCTGGGCCTTCGCGAAGGCTGTACATCTAGGTCCTTCGGCCAAGGTGGTGCGGACTTCCTTCGCCGGCAAGGTGACATCGCCTTTGGCTGCTACGCTGACGGGGGTGCCTCTGTCGCTAATTTCACGCTTGGAGCCTTCGCTGGTTTCGACGCTTTCGCTTCAAGCAGTTTGTAGTGGTCCTCCATGATGTTCATAAACCGCCGCGATCATGTCTTCTGGGATGATCTAGACGAAGTCGTCGGGCGCTCTTTTCTGCGATGGGGTTCACATCAATGACGTCTGACGTCGGTGTAGAGGCATCAGGCTGCATGGTGATCTCTGCAGAAGTTACAGTCGCTGACACCGGTTGCTTCTTCTGCCGTAAGTCGGGGATGATTATCGGCTGATCATCGTAGAGGCCCAATTCTCTTCGTAGATTTCCCTTTGGAAGTCTGCGCTGCCCTGGGTGTCCTCAATCTGCGTTGAGACGACGATGAGGCCCTCTTAGACTTGGTCTGCAATGACGGGATGTCTGGGGAGGCCGGTCGTTTCTTCGAGGTAACGGACTGCGTCCCACGTTCCTCTGCCGCAGGGGTCTCTAGCAGAACACCAGACGGGAGAGGGTCGATCGCTAGCAGTTGACTGGATGGAATATCTGGACTGTCTGCCATGTTTTGCCCTTGTTTGCGTGATCTATCTGCAGCACGTCTTAAGACGCAAAGATGATATTTATTAAATGCAGAATGAGATAAATTAATGCAGTAACTGCAACGCGAATTAAACGCGACACGGGCGAGAACAACTAGGGCATATTACATGTGGATCGGAGGCAGAAAACGTAATCTACAAATCGCATAGATTTTCATCAACGAAAAGTTAGCTGAACAATCACTTAATACACGGAATAAACAGTAGAAATACGATAATTAATCAATACAAATAGTAAAGGATACTAGCTATACCTCTATAGTAACCTATGAGAGGTAAAAAACTAAGAGATTATCAAAGGATATGGTGTGTAAGGAGACACAAGCGCTCTCACATCCTGCTCACTGGGCGAAGAAGGAGAGAGTGGAGCACATGGCCAGAGGGTGGCGACACCTTTCCCGCCAGGGGAAGCAAAGGGGAGCAACTCGTGGTGAGTACCAATTAGTGATTTTATTTTGAAGGGAGCTTCAAATAAGGAGATACAAGTGTTCCACTATGTTCGCAAGAAGAAGAAGACAAGCAAAAGAGCATGAGTCAGGATAAGGAAAAATATGTCTAGCATCAACCTGCATATTTTGGATAATATGACATCCATCAACCAAGTCAGCAAGTCTAACCACCTGATCCCATTGGTCGTCTCTCATGACAAGCATAGGTTGTTGAAGACCAGTTCTAACACAGATCATCATGGGTCAAGGTTTACATGTTGGGTATATATGCATTGGATTTCTTTGGATATTTCTAGGATGATGGAACACATCTCCTCATGCAACTTATTGAGCATCACACTGCTACCGTACATATATGTGTGTGTGAGGTAGATTTTATGCCGCTTTTAGCAATATTCCAGCAATATCAAGACAAGCTGACACCAGAAATAGGCTTCACACTGCACACATAGTGAATCGAAACTGGGCCTTCGATGTGATAAGCAAATCACTAGCTATCTAGGCTACTCCACCTCCTATGTTGATATATGTATCAGATCATGACAGTATTCCTACAATGACTTAGTCCTACTCACTGTACACGGAAGGTGTGCTGCTCCAGCTGCTCGACATGGGTCAGCGTCTTCTTCCTGTTACGTGGCGCCAGGATTGGTGTCTTCGGCAACAGCGAAAACATCTTCCTGTAGTACATGTCTGTTGGGTTGTTCAGGTAGCTCTGTACGGGAAATGTTTAAATGTTGGAGGATCAGTAGGTTCATGAGCCATTCAGACGCTAGCTTTCCACAAAAATCTTGCTTCACCTTTTGACAAACTAGAATTATCAATTTTAAGACAAGTGAGTAAGTCTGTATGGTTTTACGCCACTTTTAGCAATATTCCAGCAATATCACGGCGGGGGACACCAGAAATGGGCTTTACACATTGTACCCATGTGGGGAATCAAACCTGGGTCTTCAGCGTGATGGGCGGACGCTTTAACCACTAGACTACCCCACTGCCCTTTTTAAGAGAAGAAACCTATCGTTAGCACAAGTAAAGCCTACTCCTAAAAGTGCTGTTTTAGGGGTAAATGCCATAATGCTCTGAAGATATTCATAACAATATACCAGCACAGCTTTTTTCATGTTCCATTCAGAGCTGCCCATTTATGTTCGATTTAAAAAGGTAAGATATGCTCCTCTGAATGCTTTGCTCACTTGCACAGAGAATTTAGAATCCTCAAAGTTAGCTGGATGAGTTCACTGACCCAACTTATTATGGAGTTGTCATCAGACGTACACCCAATGAAGCATCACAGCAGATGTGATGAGAGTTTGGAACTTTATTGACTTGACATAGTTAGTAAACAAGACAGAAACTTGGGATTGGGAAAGGTAGGGGTCATGGGCCATTTTGCACATTAGAAAAAAATATGGCCCATTAAGATTTTTACGTTTACTATTGATACAAGGGCAGTGGCCCATTCTCAATTCAGAAAATGGCTAATAATCCTGAAAATGGCCCATTGTCAAAGTTCTCTATCCCAATCCCTGCAGAATCCTTTTCACTTTTAATACTAAATTACTGTTCACCCAACATATTTCCAGTGATGTAATAATAAACTAAATTTTCTTCATACATAATGATATAACACTTGCAGAAAAAGTATGTAATACAGTGAACATATCCACACAAAATACAAGAATCTTGCAGTCATAAAAATACACAACCTTTTAATTCTTTACAGGAAATCCACATGGAAATCAATAAGCCAAAAGGTATATGATTCCCTAGCCAGGATTTACTTCATCAATAATGGAACCATCATGTCAGATGGTCCAACAGTCCAGGCGGTCTCACCTTGTAGTACATTCCTGGCATGCCCTTGACCGGCTTGAAGTCATCCCGCTTCTTGGCATGGTACAGACTGTCCTCTGACTCCGCGTCGCTGTTGGAGTCACTGTCCTCCATCCTCGTCTTCTTGTCCTCCCTCTGTATCAGCCGCGACACGATGGTGGTGGGCGGGGTTATCTCACGCTGAATCACACAAGAGGCTTGTATTACAAATCAAATCAAAGGTGTGGACTTCAGAGAAGTACTACTCAAAATACCAAACCAACACACATATATCCCCATCACCCACACATCACCAACCAGCCACACATTTTGTTGGATATCCTTAAGTTAGTTTTACATAATCTTCTTCATCTTCTACAGGTTGTTACTTTCTTGCCCCTCTCCGAGAGCCTCACGTTGGTTGTTGACCAATCAGAATTCGACAACTGTATCTTAAGGGTAATAAATCCCCATCACCCACACATCACCCACCAACCACACATCTTGTTGGATGTCCTTAAGTTAGTTTTACATTATCTACTCCATCTTCTACAGGTTGTTACCTTCTTGCCCTTCTCTGAGAGCCTCACTTTGGTTGTTGCAGCCACAGACTGGTTTGTGGTGTCAAGGTCACTGGAAGTGTTTCCCATCAGGCTTGGCTGGGAGTTTCTGTAAACAGAGGACAGAAGAGAATAAACAAAGAAAATATACACAAAATATAATGGGTTTTGTTAATAAAAGATGTTTAGAGTGATATAATTGCATAAATATATGATATTCAAACATCTCTCTTGAAAGAAAAGTCTGTATGTTCATACAGAAAAGATAAATGCACATAGCATACGAACATTTGACAAATAGAACTTTGTCTGAGCAGATCCATAACAAATGTAAAAGAAAGTAGTTCTGGAAAGTTCAGTGTGAAGTGGTAATTTCTTAATCATTAAAAATATCTTCATGAACAAATCAATAGAAAATAATGAAAGAGTGACTACTGCATAATACCACACAAACCAATACTGCTGGCAAAACTGTGACTGATATCATTATGAACAACATTCCATCTGACAACATGCAATGAACAAGTCACTAAATCTGATCGTCTCATCAGTAGCATCTTACAACAAGCAAAGTGTGCTGCAAACCTTAGAAACACGGAACCCCTACGTTGGTTTGTTGCTTAACGCCGAACTCAGCAATATTCCAGTTATATGGTAGCAGTCTAAATTATTGAGTCAGGACCAGACAATCCAGTGATCAACAGCATGAGCATCAAATTCCGCAATTTGGGATACGTGTGTCAACCAAGTCAGCAAGCCTGAACACCCGATCCCATTAGTCACCTCTTACGACAAGCATGGGTTACTGAAGATCAATTTGAACCCAGATCTTCACAGGTGAACCCCTACAGGTGAACATAGTGACTGATCTGTGACGGCTCTGTACATACCGTTGGCTTCTGTCGGAGGCCATGTCGCTAGTGGAGCCAGGAACTGGCTCTTCCCCATCCTTGTTCTCCTCCCAGCCGGTGCGGATGCGGTCGGGGTAGCCAGTGATGCCGGATGTAAACTGTAGCTCCACCTCGTACTCCTTCTGTCCCGCCATGTACCTGAAACCAGGACCACAAGCACACATCTAAGTGGTGTCTGGATGGTGTTAACTCTTCAACGAAATGAGTCACAACAAACTTGGTTGTGGAATCAGGTTGGAGTCAATTCAAAACCTGGATGAAATAGACAGTAGGTCCTAAATATGTAGTTTGTACAGCTGACAACTGGACATTCAAGATAATCACGATCAAAGCTATCTTGTTCGCTTATGACAAAAGATATATCTTAAGTTTATTTTATTCCTCAAATATTCCTCAAATAATTCTCCTGAAGTTACCATGATGGCATACTGTTGTATGATACTTTGTTAAGCTATATGGAATAATATCTGTACATAAGTCTTTGCAATCTGATGAGTATATCTATATGTTAATAACAATTGTGCATTTAGCATGAAATTCATTATAGTCTTGACTGGCTACACACCTTGGCAGTTTGACAATCTCAAAATACAGATTGCTCATCCAGTGATCAAGGTCCGAGGCCATAAGCTCCTCCACCTTTTCATGTTTGTCGATGTTAGGGTCCATCTCACCTCTCAGGAATGGACACTGGTACCTGGACAAACAAAATAGTGAGTGAGAGGACACTGGTACCTGGACAAACAAAACTGTGAGTGAGAGGACACTGGTACCGGGACAAACAAAACTGTGAGTGAGAGGACACTGGTACCTGGACAAACAAAACAGTGAGTGAGAGGACACTGGTACCTGGACAAACAAAACATGAGTGAGAGGATACTGGTAGGTACAAAACTGGACAAACAAAAAACAGTGAGTGAGAGGACACTGGTACCTGGACAAACAAAACATGAGTGAGAGGACACTGGTACCTGGACAAACAAAAAACAGTGAGTGAGAGGACACTGGTACCGGACAAACAAAAACATGAGTGAGAGGACACTGGTACCAGTGACAAACAAAAAACATGAGTGAGGAGGACACTGGTACCTGGACAAACAAAACAGTGAGTGAGAGGACACAGGTACCTGGACAAACAAAACATGAGTGAGAGGACACTGGTACCGGGACAAACAAAACTGTGAGTGAGAGGACACTGGTACCTGGACAAACAAAACAGTGAGTGAGAGGACACTGGTACCTGGACAAACAAAACATGAGTGAGAGGACACTGGTACCTGGACAAACAAAACTGTGAGTGAGAGGACACTGGTACCTGGACAAACAAAACTGTGAGTGAGAGGGCACAATACCAGCATCTCTTAACAGTCTACAATGTGCACACATGTGCATTCATGAGCAGGATAACCCACCATTTTTCATCCATCCTTGGAATTGCCAATTCAATAATATTGCAGATATATCATGGCAGGCTCTAAATAATAAGTCAGAACCAGAAAAACAGCGATTAATGAACAGTGATACCTAGAATCAGGGTACAAAGACGTGAGGGCACACAGACACAAACAAAAACACAAACACTTAGTTCATATCATTATTTTATTGGGTATGTTTTAAATCACCACACGTGGGGAAATGTGTGCACAGAGATTGCTGTTTCCGGCTCTGTATATGAGACAAATACACACGGTAATCTTAATCCCTGTATATAAGACAATGCCCAGCAAAAACAAATTAAAACTGAAATGGTAAACAATCTTGTCTAGTGATGTTTAATTGCAAATTTATGTCTTTACTAACAAAGTTGTCTTCTCTTGTTCGTTCACGTGAAGCGATACAATGTTGTTTTCTAACCACCCGAAAAATAGTTTGACAAAAGTGTAACCTGTAGATAAGCCAACCCCTTTCTACAGACTGCTTTTTCAGTCCTCAAAATTTGGCATATCTATGGTAATTAGAGTACTTCCTTCTGGGGGTCTGATGCCATGTCACTCAAAACTGACATGGTGTTTTGGCATTCCCTGATTATATTCTCTGAAGTCTCAAAGCTCATACAGAGGATATAGTATTGGAGAAAAAGATAAGATTTAATCAGATAGCCAGTCTGTTCACAGACAAGCAATGGGTACATACAAAACAAAGCATCCACAGGTTAGTGGATCGGGAATTAATTTGACAAACGAAACTCACCATCGTATTGAACTGTGATATTTGGTGTACTTACTTGCCCTCAATGATGTCGAACTGGCCATCACAGATAGGGAACACACCCCAGGAGATGACCCGGTCAGTGGGTACAACCGATCCCCGCAGCAGGAACAGCTCAAACACCAGCGCCATCCCGGGCCTCAGGGACGGCTTGGACGGCAGCACAGTGAACACGCTTTGGTCGATCTGATCAGCAGGAACATTGGATGTTTTCATCAACTTATGAACTTTTCATATCTAATACAGAATTTCTGCATGTATATATATTTTTATTATCAGCAATAAATTGAGTAAATGACATGATATCCATATGAAAATGCACTTAAGAAAATACCCGGAACAATAAAATATAGCTTAATTATTACTTGACCGTGGAAGATACTGCAGTGTAATATTTTTATGGCAATATTACACTAGTGTAATACTGCTAGACATGACGTCATAATGATTACAGTTATGACGTCACAATGCTAATGCCCCTGTCACAATGGTGTTAGACCTTGCTTGACTCATGGAAAATTGATATGAGAGTCATCACACTGTAGGCAGTTTCTAGCAATTTAAGTAATAAACAGAATACTAAACTTGCTTCAGTGAAATAACATTTTTATTAAACTCGTGAAAGATTTGGTTTCAAACTTGCTTTCGCTTGTTTGGTACCAAATCATTAACTCATTTAATAAAATTGGTAGTTGTTTAGTACCCTCTATATAAAAAGTTCTGTAGACCTAGAGCTTATATTCCTAATAAAAGAAAACGTATTCCTAATAAAAGAAAACCAAATAATTATGCAAATTTGAAAGCAGACTGGGCATAGGTCTATATGTCTATATTTCAATAGTAACATTTGACAAAGTAAGAACTTTACAATAATCAAAGTTGAGGTTTAGATTTTGTCATGACAGATAATATTACACAAGCCTTTTTTGTTGGTATATCAGGGGTCAGCAAGAAACTCCTTTCATCTAAGTATCTTAAATACCTGGACATGAAGACACAGAATCTTTGAATTTATTCCAGGGCTGGTTTTGACTAATGTACTGATGACAATAATCTTCTCCTTATGCTTGTCATATTTTAGGGTGACCTTCCCCTCATTCCCTCTGACCATACTACCAAATAATAAATCACTGGTCCCTAAATCATGACTATTATCTTCACAAACTGACACAGCAACAAAACTTTGAGAACTTAACATGATACATACCTTCATCTCCACGTTGTGGAAGTTTCCCTCATGGAAGATGGGGAGTGAGGCCCCACCCCACTGCTGTCCCTTCATCTTTGACCAGCGGAGGGTGTGACCACCCATACGGTTGTACAGCGACACCATCAGGACGTAGCGGCCAGCTGGAGAACCAGAATAACCATGTCATCAACAACACACTTCACAGAAATCAAGTTTATACTTTCTATACTGTACTCAGCTGTTTTAACAAATAAAAACAACAATAGTGTATGTGAATGTTGTTTATCAAGACAATAAGTAATGCCAGCCTGCTTATAATCCGGTTTGGACCAGGGAAACCAAATGACTGATGGCATGAGGAACTATTTACACCAGCAAGTCACGATGACATGCAGTCAGCCAGGTCATCAAGTCTGACTGACTGGTGTTCTGAGGACCATATTCTCCTGAGTGTACAATGAAAACCAAGATGGCTGCCTCACCTGGCAGTTTGTCCTTGACCCCTCGCAGACACTTGAGTTTGATCTGTATCGGCTGCGGGTGTGTTGTTCCAATCCACTTTCCATCGCCTGCCTCGGCTTCCTCCGTACTGACCATCAGCCAACATCAGGTCACCATAGAATGTCTACAATGTTAAACAGGAACAATTTCATATTCAATTAGAGTTAACATAATTTTCTATGATAAAATTGATATTTTGCACTTATATTGTGCTTATCTCCCTTTCCTTCTGACTGACTGAGTTTAGTTTTACGCCGCTTTTAGCAATATTCCAGCAATATCACGGCGGGGGACACCAGAAATGGGCTTCACACATTGTGCCCATGTGGGGAATCTTTCCTTCCGAGGGTTGAGTGGAAACCTCTGTCCTTATGTTCCCAAGAACAGTCAAAATACATACTAACCCTAACAGGGCCCCTTTGCCTCCTTCCCGCCACTAGTCCCATGTGACAGACGGCCATATTGTCCGGGAATCAACCCCCCACTAAGGCTTGCAGGGAGGCCAGATAGTGGAGAGAGAGGACGGTTGGGAGGGCTCTCAGCGTATGAGTCAGGATAAGTATAAAATATCAATTTTATCATAAAAATTACATAATTTTCCCTTATCCTGATTCATACTTGCTTGAATCTGACGGATAGGTGGTGGGTCAGCCACCTATCTAGATTCCCTGTGACAGCTCGATCAATCCTAGTCCACCTTCTCTTATCAAAACAAAAGAAGTAAATCTTTTGAAGACATGCTGAGAATTCTGGATTCTAGCTGTCTTAAACGATCCATTTGTTAAGAAAGGAGCTACTTTTAAAACGGAATCGCATCACTCGTGCACTGACTTGTCTTGTAAGACAGGGGAGCATGGACTCTCTGTCGGTGGTTATGGGACAGTAACCTGACGTCTACGAGTCTACATGATTGAGGGTGAGATTTTGTCCTTCCTATCGTCTGGTCGGGACTGTCAATTGTTGTGCCACTACAAGTGGTCCGAACTGGTGGATACCGGATACATCCTCCGTGGCGATAACTCTGAGATAATAGTTGGCGAAGACAGTTTCTGATCTCCAAAAGCAGCCTTCCATGATTGCCGATAGTGAGCACTTGCCATGTAACACTAAGATCGATGCTAGTGCTCTAACTTCACGTGGGTTAGAAGCTCTGGGCGGATCTAGTCCAGCTGCTGTGTATGCCTGTAACATGACTGCTGTTATCCAAAAGGAGATCGTAGTTCTGGAGACTTCTACAGATGTGGCGGTCAACAACGGGATGAAGAGACGTTTATAGTGACATCTTCTCATCTTCATTTTAAGGTAGATCTTCAATGCCCTGACCCAGAATGAACTGAAACGGATATTAAACTCAAATATAGTAGACAATTTGAATTTGGTGAATATGTTACTATAAGTTTGTATGGGCTTTTTTATTTTAAACATTCACCTGTTTCAGTTTGTCAAACTCTGTTTGAAATTTGAGTAAAAACTTAAGTTTGTTTCGAGAAATCGGGGACTGGTCTCAACATGATAAAATATTCACCAAATGAGATTAACTATCAGAAAGTATACTTTTCTAAATAACAAAATGTGTTCCCACAACACCTTCATACCTAAAAAATAAACAGATCTAATTATAATCATAAGAAAAAGATACATCAGTTTTCCAGCAACTGACACTTGTTTTAAAAGACAAATTGCAGAATCATGGGGGCAGGTTTAATGGTTTGGTCCATGCATATCTTCACATCCGTATTGTGCAGACGGATGTTCATGATACAACAGCTGGAATATCGCTGTATGAGCAGGGATTGGGAAAGGCAGGGGCCATGGGCCATTTTGCACATTAGAATAAAAAATGGCCCATGAAAACTTTGAAGTTTACTATTGATGCAAGGGCAGTGGCCCATTCTAAATTCAGAATAATCCTGAAAATGGCCCATTGTCAAAGTTCTCTATCCCAATCCCTGTATGAGCAAACAAACAAGAAAGGAACTTAATCAACTGCAAGGTTTTACAGTAACATAAAACCAATACACTCACCGTTTCAGTAATTGTAATAACTGTTTCTTCACCAGTAGCCTCCCCTGATCCTTCCGGTCCAGCCACTGGCTGGGGAGATGTCTCGTCTTCCATGATCTGTAAATTACAAAATGTTGCAATAGAATGTATGAAAATGGAAAAAGACACTTCTTTAGTAAATACCAACAAAAAAATTAAACAGAAAACTACATCAACACATATTCTTTCCCCTAAAAATAGAATCAGTGGTTATTCATTTGATTTATTATATGCTGTTCATCAGAATCCCCGAGGTATACCATATTACTTCTAATAAACACTGCAACAGATGTAGACTAATGCTTAGTCTCTAAATAAAATATAATTTTGATAGAAACAAATAATTCAAATTAAAGTAAAAAGGAGCCCCAGTGAGATGGGAGATTCAGAACCTGAGGAAATCTAGACTTGCTTCATTTAGGGCTTTAGCATTGCAGACAGGGCTGACTCACTCATACGTGAAAATAATGACGGTCAGATACAGCGAGACAGACTACAATAGATGCGGAGTTAAAACAATTGTTTGAGTGGCATTCTAGAAGTTGGTGGTTACTGTTTTAACAGAGACGACAAGACTTTATGGATGATCAACTTCTTTATTTTGACAATTGCTACATTTCATTGGTATAGATTCTTATACCGTTTTTATTGGTGTACCCCATCATTCACCCATATGCTTGAAAACGGTATAAGAATCTATACCGAAATGTCGCAATTGTCAAAATAAAGAAGTTGATCATACATAAAGTTTTGTCATCTCAGAAATTAAAAGAAATGAGAATGGATCTCATTAACACTCTGTATTTTATATTTGAACAAAAGAAGTATGATCCCTGTTCAGATACATAATAAAGGTGTTAAATATATTGAGGGCTGGTTTCCGATACATGCTAGGATTCCAGTAAACATGGTAAATGAACAAAACACAGACACAAATAGGCATATATTGGAGGAAATTTCAGTTGTGTAGTTCTTCACCTGGACTATTTTCATTGTAGCATATCCTCTTCAATCTTATCCATGAACAATGAGTCAGTAGACTTTTACTCTGTCGTCTCATGGCCAAACATTCCACCTCATTTCATGTTATGGAGTTACATTGCTTTGAGGATACCATGATTATTCAAACAAATTATTCAGCTATAGTGTGGCCTGGTTGTCGAACACTGGCCAGCAGCCAGAGACATGACATATGGGGATAGCACAGGATATTAACAAACAACAACATTAAATCACAAGGAGAATAATATTTTAATCGACTGAAATAAATTAAAAAATACTGACAAGTTTAAAAATTAGATTGACATCATGTGGAAGTCTTCACTAATCAGATTAAATACTTCTGTTGTCTCAAATTATTTAAAACAAATTATTATTATATATAATATTATTTAACAAATCTTTTTAAGCGTTATTATAATGTTCCTTTTTGTCTTTACATTGATTAATAAAATTAGAAAGATTTCCCCAAATAGTGTAATGTGATGCATAATATATAAAAATAGATACAACAGTAGACCCTATTGTGATTTTGGTATATCATGCTACTCCATTTACAATGTTATGTTTGTTGTCTGTGTCCACACGTCAGGGATCTATGTTTACTTGGTGTCAAGTCTCGAGAGTCAATAATAATTACAGTAACCGGTAAGCATAGAGCGTGGTAGAAGTATTGATATCATTGAAACACACTGCTGTCTTGGACCAAAGCCAGCACTGAGAGGTATGTACTTAGTGTCCCAAATGTCATTACTTTATACATGTTGCTGGGCCCCTTGGTAATCATCGTTACTCAGGAATGGATAATTAAGGGAAACATTCTTGGAACCATACTGCGTTGAGAAACATGTACTTTCCTCAAATTAAGATATCGCTGTCAGAAAGTCAAGACGTGTGCACAGATATTTTTTTAAGTAGTCTTGTATGACAATAACAGTTGAAGCAATTAAGGCTGTCTCACGGACTCATTATGATTGTAAAACTGATCAAAAGGGTACTCAGGAGTTCATGTACGAAAAGTACATTTCATTAAAAATGAATATAAGAGCATTAAAAATATCGAAACAAGAAAGTTAGAGTCATGAAAATCTCATTACCTCCTAAATAGGGGAAAATTTCACAAAGATGTATGCATGAGTGAGTGAGTGAGTTCGGTTTTACGCTGCTTTTAGCAATATTTCAGCAATATCACGGCGGGGAACACCAGAAATGGGCTCCACGCATTGTACCCATGTGGGAAATTGAGCCTTGGCCTTCTTATGACAAGCAAACGCTTTCACCACTTGGCTACCCCTACACGCCTGACATCCGAGTCCAGTGTTTTTTTCCGTCGGGCAAGCAAATTTGTATATCACACTGTACCGGTGTCCAGTTGATTTGTTAATAATGTTGTTTATTTAAAAAATCAACAAGAGAAAACAGTCGGTATAGTGGAAAAATGATCAGGGCAAGTGATTTTACATGTGCCACTGTACCGGAGTACACTAGCAATTTTAAGGTTATTTCCACCCCTGCCCTACCCCATGTATGGATGAAAATATTATCACTGATTTTACCCAAAGAAGATTAATCCTAAACCATATGAGTACAACTACCATAAAGATGACTTAATCAAATGAGCCCTTCTATTCTCTAAGTACTTTCAGTACCTTCCAGGGATGTTAAATAGTATTACTTTTCAAAAGGTAGAACTACTAGTATTCTTTGGACACCATTGCTACAGAAATGTTGTTGTTATTTGTTTTTGACCTATGGTGACAGTAATATACACAATGTCCCACACTGTCAGCATAAGATGTGGCACAATCAGCCAAATCACCAAGCCTTTCCACCTAAGCCATTTTGTTGCCTGTCAAAACAGTAAATGTATTTTAATCTAGAATCCAAACAGGGTAGTATGATACATGATATCTGATGTGCTTGCAAAGTTAAATCAACAAAGGCTGAATGGTATATGATTTATGCTCCACATTAAGAGACCCTCTCAGATTTGGTCAAGAGACAATAAAGCAATAAAGCAAGCACCTGAAAATACCTTTCCCTTCAACAATGTTTACAATAACACATGATAACAAAAACACCAGAATATGGCCAATGTAATTTTCATTTTTTTTTATATGATGCATTGTGAAAATTAGAGAGCAATAATCAGGCACTAATATGAAATACAAGCTGCTTCTTTAAAAATATTATCCATAACTGAAATGGAGTTCCATGATGAATAGAAATATCTGTATCCACTTTGTATATTAGCATTACTATTTAGTATTTAACATAAATGATTAACTTTAAGTCAGCTGAGATTTAAAAAGTGAGCATGTTCTGACGTATAACCAACAAGATGTATGCGAAAAGAAAAAATATGAAATGGATCTTTTTTTATCCACACACGTACATAAAACAACAAGTACTTTTATACATTCATGGAAGAACATAACAGGCCTTTCTGATAATACTATATAGCTACATATATGCCAATGTTATTGTGTTGATTACATGATTTCTGTATGTACAGGCATTCATTTCTGGCGGGTTATTATTTTGAAAATCATCTTTAACATTTAGCCTTTCTTATCTATAATACTGAGTTTATCTAATATATTATCGTTACGAAATCTACTTTGCATTATGAAAACACGGTGACAAATTCTAGAATTAATATTAAAAACATATGATATCTTAATCTTACTTACATAATATATTTACATATTATGAAGCAATGTTCAGGCTCATAACACAAGTTTCGAAAAATGTTCAAGCATTCAGTGATGATAAAGTTGTCGCATAATCGCTGACATGACCCGGATTTCTTAGTTAGATTTCAGGCCGATATATTGCAGAGTACCGTACGCGTACTGTTATAAATAATTCATATCAGGTATTCTCAGTCGTTAGAATTCAAGTTTACCGCATACAGCATTTAGTATGTTTTGGTACTTACGCAATGTTACGACTGGGTACACTTCGAAATATTGTTGTTCCCTGCAAGATGCTGTCGATCAGTAACTCCACGACTTGGCAGCTCTATTCAAGCGACCGTCGCCATTTTCAAACACTTTCCATGGTGATTGGTGACGTCATCAGATTGCCCATGGGAGATTACTCGAAACAGGTGCGCGTAACAAATGGTAGAAGCGCAGGTAAAATACCAACTTCATATAACGGTTTCACACCCGGTAAACAGTTATGTTGTTTCAATGGAATAGATATACCCTGGCCAAATTTTGTAGTGTATTCTCTGTCTTGTATGTGTGTAGTAGATAGAATTTCTGACTCACTGCATAATCGTAGCATGAGTTTGAAAGTGCAGGTTTATTTATTAGCGTTACCATGACAACAAAATTGACGACACGCTTTTCGCGAATGGCTAATGCAGTTCAATCTAAATCAGCATGTCATAGCTATAGTAAAGATAAAAACAATTTATGTGTAAGTCTTTATAATCTTTTTATTGGTAGGCCTACACTGATTCTGTTCTCGTTACAATATTTCCAGTGGGGCGGTGGGGTAGCCTAGTGGTTAAACTTCGCTCGTCACGCCGAAGACCCGGATTCGATTCCCCACATGGGTACAATGTGTGAAGCCCATTTCTGGTGTCCCCCGCCGTGATATTGCTGGAATATTGCTAAAAGCGGCGTAAAAACTCATTCACTCACTTGGAAACCAGCAAACGTTTCTGTAGACATGTGTGTCTTCTGGCTTCTATTACGAAATTGCAGTCCACAATGAGCAAATTTATATTCCGCGAACAAACAATCGATCCATATTTCGAAGCTTTTACACTTGGAGTTTTGTTTCCCTTTAAGGTATGATAGTTACAATGATAGGGCAAATATCTCTTCGCACAACAGCACCCTGTTTAAACCCGCATTCCCAACGGTTTCCCGCGGTAGACATGAAAACGTCACGTGGTTATACCCAGAATCTTAATGTCAACCGTAGTTGGTCGGTTGCCAGATACCCGTGAAGAATCCTGTTGGGATTGCTCTTCAGCAACCCATGTCTGTCGTAAGAAGTGACTAGCGGGAACGGGTCGTCTCACTCGCCTGTCTCGCTGACTTGATGCAAGTCGTATCCCAATAGCACATTAAATGAAACACCGAGAACAAGTAGGGTTGGTCTAAGTGAACGCTCATCACGTACCGCACGTGCATTTGTTTCACTGTTCCAACTACTGCGCTTACCGTGCGAATATTATTGTGTACTTTTCCACATATTTATCTATCGGATGATCCTTTGGTGATGCATGTCAAGACTCATGATGAAAGCAAGGAATTCAACAGCTATTGTAAGCGTGCCAAGGTTGTTGGACAAATTCTGAAATTTGAAGTTGATTTTGTTGATGGCGATGTACTGCTGGACGGTACAGCGATGGGAGTAAACCAGGTGAAGTCATTCACCAAGTCTGCTCAGAGTCGGTCATTTGTGGAGGAGCTTTCTTTGAAGTCATTGCATCGTGTGTACGTGCAGTGTGTGGAACAGAATAGCAATCCAACCGACTCCTTCGCCTGCAATGTGAAACTGAGGGCTTCCTTTTTGCTGCTCAGGACCAGTCACATCCCACTCGCAATCGCCTAAACGTTATTCTTAAAGAAAATATTAACATGAAATGCCGACTGTGTAATGAATTTACAGAGACTGTCCAACACCTTGTCAGTGGATGCCCTTCTTTTGCACAAACATCATATCTTAAACGACATGATGGCATGGCTCGTTGCTTTTACTACCGTCTCCGCCATGCCTGTGGCTTTGACTCCGAGGTCCATCCATGGTACGACTCTGAAGTTGCCTGAACATATCCAGGGCGTCATGGAAAATGATGCTTTTAAACTTTTGTGGAATAGGCCTGTATACAGCCTCAGAAGAATTCCTGCAAATAAACCCGATCTTGTCCTTTTTGATAAAGCCAATGAATTTATTTATATCATTTAATTTTCTGTCCCTTTTAACAGCAACGTGATTGGCAAGATTCAGGAAAAGCATGATAAATATGCGGACCTCGCCTTTGAAATGTCTCGCTTGCAACCCAAGTACACTGTCGTCAGGCTCCCCATTGTTCTCGGTGCCCTTGGTTTGGTACCTCCTGATATCTTGGCGCGGATCAGGAGAGTGCCCGGGTTCTCCATCGGGAGCACAGCCCTTCTGACACTCTGGGTAATGCAGAAGGCTGCAGTGTTGGGGAGCCTTCATATTCTCCGGAAAGTTCTTGGTGGGTTCGACTAGGCAGCGTTTCCTGGGAGAAGTCCCATTCGCTGTCTGGGCTGCGTGTAGAGGGGGCAAGGGCCCTGAGCTGATGATGAGCCTTACCAGCCCGACTGTGCCAGGATCACCCGAACCTTCTCTGGTGCATACAATTTTTAATATGTAAAACATAATAAGAACAAGCATTGTCACTAAGGTGACATAATCCCCCGCCGCAAATGATCATATCAAACTTAAAAAGTAATGAAAGTGTTAAGTTTGATTTGATAATTTAGGGCGAGAGATTACATTCTCACCTGAAGTATTCTTCCTTGGAGTCAGGTGTATCTAGTAATCGATGAAATAGGAAAGAGCATACCAGGTCACTAAAATCGAATGGGCCCTGCACCATCCCAAGATGATGCTTTGCGTCAGATATGAGGAAAACACAGTTTAATCGTTTGTGAGATGTCTGGCTGAGACAAGATGAACATGCAGGTTAACAAACTGAAATATTCAGTGTGTCACTGTGAATGGTTATTGGGGTATCGCGCTGACGTTAAAGTCCCTATGTGACCTTGAAATAAAGGTCAAGGTCTACACACCTGACTGGGACCTTTCTCATACTGTGATAAACCTAGGTACCAAATATGAAAAAAATCTAGTCAACGGTCCTTAAGATATTCCAATTTGTATGTACGTACAGCTAATTTCTAGGTTGCATTACAGGAAGACTTGCATAATGGACATTCAGGTGATAATGAAGACTTCTCAAAAGGTTGGTTGGTTTGTTGTTTAACGCAGCACTCAGCAATATTCCAGCTATATGGCGTCGGTCTGTAAATAATCGAGTCTGGACCAGACAATCCAGGGATCAACAGTATGAGCATCCATCTAAGCAACTGGGATACGATGACATGTGTAAACCAAGTCAGCGAGCCTGACCACCCGAACCCGTAAGTCGCCTTTTACTCAAGCGTGCGCGCGTGCGTGTGTGTGTCCGTACCGCTAAATCATAGACAAAATGTTTTGTTTTATTTGAGTGGCATTTTAAAAATAGGAACTTCACAAACTGATATAAGACTATCCGTGAGAGGATTCGTACCGCTAAATCACAGTTAAAATGTTTTGTCTTCTTTGAGTGGCACTGTAGAGGTTGACACGTACAATATTGAACAAACTTTATGGATAACAACTTTTATTTCGCGAGTGCCACTTTTCCATACAGATTCTTTTACTGCTTGACAACGGTACAAGAATCTACATCGAAAGGTCGCACTCACGAAATAAAAGAAGTTGTTATCCATAAATGTTTTTCAATATAAAATGTTTTGGTCGACCCTTACCCATTTACTGTATCCCCAGATCTCCGTGGTATGGATTGATCAGTTCCCCTCCAAAAGGTATTTACTGCATTATTTGACCTGTGTTGAACAAAGTCAGCCGCCTAACCCCCTCAGCCAACGCGACTTCCAAATGGAAGTCGGACAACTGGTAGTCTTGAGTGCCGACTTCGTGTACCACTCTGATAAGTGGGCTCCCACGACCGAAAGCTATGATTACACATTGCCATTTAGAAAGCGGTCAAATGGAACATATGTTATAACCAAATGGGGGTTTCCTTTAACTTGTAAATATGTGTGCTGACAAGCTTCACTAATATTTTAATATGTCACACACTACAACAAAAAATGGTTTCTCGAAATTTTATTTCACAATATTAATAGTAAGGAATCCAAATTCATGTTAGAAAATATGAAAAGGAATTTGATTCCTTAATTCATCAAAGCAATATGCGTATAAATACATCCAAAATGATTAAATCATTGTGATTTCTAAAATAAATACAATGTAATTTCCTAAATGATTTCAATCAGAAATTGTTTCATCAGCAGTTATCCATAAGTGGACGAACAAACACTTTCTATATATTGAAATCCATTATAACCCATGGTTTTAAATCACACAAAAATAACTGAGGGCATTTCATCTTGCATAAAAGCCCAAAGAAAAATCTAAAACCACATTTACTTAACATGTTTACCAGCAATTATTGTTGCAAACACTTTCCATGAATCTTTGGGAAACAAAGGTAAAATATCTCTTTCTATTGCACATGTTCTTGAAAAGAAATTGTTGAAATGTTTGGTGTTGATCAGTGTCTCTGTAACCCAGTGGTGATCTGGCTAGTTTACAAATACGAACATTGCTGGTTTGATCCATTGAAACATATCAAAGACATCTCTGGTTTCAATTCTCACTATTATTATGATGATGTGTTTTTGTTAATTATAATGTCACATTGATTACCTTTTAGTTGTTATGGGTCACAAAAGTTTAAAGCATCTTGAACTTAAGCTATGTAATTTCACCTGTTAAGAGTAAGCTGAGGAGTTACCTCCCTTTGTTTGAGTTCTTTGAGAGGCATTTTAGAAGTTGTGAGGATGAAGGCAACTAGTGTACTTCAACCTACTTACTTATCATCATCTCATTGTACGTCAAACTCATCAATTGTATAAATTCAACTCTAATCACAATCAATCACTCTGTACATCAACCTCCTCTGCTCAAATCACTTATCAAATATCCAATGTACATCAACCTTGTTAATTGTTATATACTCACTATGCAGCAATGTATATATCCTCCTTGTTTCAAATTGTTGTATCACTTGCTTGATAATGGTGTTAGTACCTACACTGAAATGTCGCACTCATTGCAATAAAGAAGTTGACTATCCATAGAACTTAGTTTTCCTCCCTTTGTTTGTGTTGCTTCTGGTTGAAGATGGTGGGATTACAGTACTTTCTAGATGGTGGTGGTGTGGCATAGTTTTTGCTAGAATTCTCTAGAACTGTATAATAGGTATATAAGGAATGGTTGCTGATATGGGTAAGATTACAGAATACCGGATACCTTCCGCCATCTTTGAAAGCTCGCGAGTTTAGTTTTGGTTAGGGTTAGGGTAAGGTTTAGGGTTAGCCTTAGGAATAGGGTGATGTGACACTAAACAATATGGCTGGTAGGTATCCGGTATTCTGCAGGTGTACCCTGATATGTATAAGGGGAACAACTTTGGATTTACGCTCATCTGTCTGGTAACATCAAGGTTTGAAGACTGACCACTCAAGAGGCCTCGTCTATATTGAACTTTCAACAGCTGTCAACAAACTTCAATCAGTATATCTACAAGGATCAAAACTTTGGTCACTATTGACATTAAGTTAATATTTTAGATTTGTGACCCAATCGTATTGCATTAGAAATGTGCACTGTCATTCATTGTAACCTTGTTTATCTTTTATTCAAAATATAATTGAATATTTTAGACTCATTTGTGTTTTAACTTAGCTGTTTAAAGGTGACTCACAAGCCTTTTATCACAGTAATTTCTAAACCCTAATACTATTCTGCTCATCCTGTTCATAATCCCTCTCCACCAACAGCCGCCATATAGCTGGAATATTGCTGAGTGCGACGTAAAACTAAACTCACTCACTCTACCAGGTTATTCATTTGATCAAATGAGTGCCCTGTAAGAACAATAATATGATGCCACTAGATGTATATATAAGACTGTACAAAGTGTACCGAACTGATTCATAAGCTCGGGCAGTAAACTTGACCTTCATTTGATAAGTTCATCTGAAAAAGTAAAACTTTCATATTACCTTGACAACAGACCCTGTAAATCATATCATTTCTAGAATTATCTGTAGGGAGTATTTCTTTCTGTTACGGTGAACCTAGTGAGCGTAAGCTTTTAAATGTTATGTTATCATCATTAAGATCTTTATGAATATGAAAACCTGTGTTTCATTTTTTAAACATTTCTACAGTCAAACATGGTAACCTGATCCAGGTCAAAGTGCCGGTTGTCTTGAGGTCACCTTCTGGTCCGTACCATTTCCTTGACCTCTTGAACCGGAACAGTGGAAATCCCAATCATATGGAGGTCACGTACGGTCCATACCATTTCCTTCTATATTGATCATAACTTACACCCGGACCTCTTGAACCGGAACAGTGGAAATCCCAATCATATGGAGGTCACGTACGGTCTATACCATTTCCTTCTATATTGATCATAATTCAGATACTCAGACCTCTTGAACCAGAACAGTGGAAATCCCAATCATATTGAGACTGGAGTTCACCGGTCATCGGTCATACCATTTCCTTCTATATTGACCATAACTTATATTCAGACCTCTTGAACCAGAACACCGGAAATCCAGGTCATCTGGAGGTCACCTACAGTCATACCATTTCCATCTATATTGACCATAAATTATATTCAGACCTCTTGAACTGGAACAGTGGAAATCCCGGTCATCTGGAGGTCACCTACAGTCATACCATTTCCTTCTATATTGACCAATAAATTATATTCAAAACTACTGAACCAGAGCAGTGGAAATCCCGGTCCTCTGGTGGTCACCTACAGTCATACCATTTCCTTCTATATTATAATAACTTATACTCAGACCTCTTGCATCTAAGAGTGGAAATCCCCCCCAAAATTAATTTTATGACCTTTATTTGGTCATGTTACCTTCACTATCATTTCAAAAGTTCCCTTTGGTCAGTAGTGCATCTTTTGTGTGTAAACTTGAATCAGGGCCAACGTTTGTTTGTTTGTTGTTTTATATGTTGCACTCATCAATATTCCAAGTATATGGCAGCGGCCATCAAACTTGGTGACCTGGCTGATTGCACGGCATTGCTCATAATATCAGGCACTGGTTGTGTTTTCTAGATTCTAAACAAGACTTCAAGGAATGTTGACGAGTGGCGCTAAACAACAAAGTTTCCAGGATCATCCTCTGTCAGTGTTAATCATAATGTCTTTCACTAAGGGAATGTGTGAAATGACAAGAGGATATCATCATCATTATTGCTGTCCAGCATTGGGTTCTGAATCTTGTCTATGTTGCTGGCCAGTTTCTTAACATGGTAACATACAGTTGCTCTGATTGCATCCAGAAAAACTCCATGTTGATTCCTGACCTCCAATTCAAACTCCTTACATTGTTGACAAGCATCCTCCTCAAGAGGACACAAACCCATCATTGCCTTCACAATCGACAACGTAAACAAACTACCACCCTTCTCTCTGTTGTATGATGATTTTTCTTTGCATTTGGAAGACGACCACTGGTATACCTTTCTCTCATCTCCCTTGTCCCCGCAGTCATCGCTGCTCTCTAGATTCCATAACCTGGGGATGTATGAGAGTGGCTCAGAATCATCCTTGGAGCAGCTGCCTAGTGACATGAAGTCCTCCCCGTGGTCGTCTGGAATCACGTCAACTCCTGCACTGTAGCAACAGTCAAGGATGATGATTATGCTTTCAACATGTAACTTTTTCAGCTCCTCTTTCAATTCCTTAGGAGTAATGTCATTTGTTCTGTCTCCCATCTTAACTTTTGTGTCTGTGTTATGTCCAGAATAGTAGAAATAGAACCTTGCATGGTCCTTGTCTTTCCGTAACCTTTCTCGGAAATATTTGAAAGCATCCATGAGTTTTGTTTTCATGTCATCCTTTTTTGCAGGAGTTTCTGTCTGTACGACTTGGATGTTCTCTTTCCTATGGACAGACAAGACAATATTAGCACTCAGACATCCCTATAAAGCTCTTTTAGCCCAGGTAGACTTTGACAATTTGTTGTTCAGACTGGAGTGACAGTCCAAGGAATAAGGAAAACATATAGCTATGAAGAATGGTTCCTTACCTGAAGGGGCGATGGGGTGGCCTAGTGGTTAAAACGTTCACTCATTGTGCCTCCGACCAAGTGGTCCACTTACACTCATTGAATCTCTTAACAAGTAGGTGTTTTGTTGTTAGAGGAATGTGTGAATCAACGTGAACTTCTTACACAGTAGGGGTGTTAGGGTAGCACAGTGGTTAAAGCGATCACCCGGCACACCTGGGTTCGATTCCAATTATGGGTACATTGTGTGAAGCCCATTTCTGGTGTCCCCAGTCATGATATTGCACAAATATTGCTAAAAGTGGCGTAAAATCATACTCTTTCACTCCTTACCTGAAATGTTCTGGAATATGAGGCCAGAATATAAATTTTGAAAGAAGAATATGAACACATAGTTAACGTAATATCCTACTCATTCTAACCATACATACCTTCATATCAAACACTGAACGATAATCAATTGTTGTCCTATCACAAAGTAACTACAACTTGAAGAACCTTATATCCCAGAGCAGACAAGGCATTCTGGGGTGATCGAAACTAAAGGAGACACTCTTAGTGAAGTATTCTTACCACCATGTATATCCTTTACAGAGTTGGTAGTTGGGGAGAAATATTTCATTATTTAGGGGTATCATAAGCCATAAACCAAAAATCATATAAAGGCTTATGTTATTGATCTGAAGATAAATTTGGTATCATGATCCAACAGATATGCAAATGAGGTCACCTAGCAGGAAAACCTTTCAAGCTGCACACATTAGTGGGATGCCAAGTTGCTCAATTAAAGCCTAATGTTCATGACATGTTTAGATACAGGTTTCCCAGTTTGTTGCAAAACATGGCAACAAACATAGCTGCAAGGCATTTGGCACGATATAATATATGAGGAAGTTCACTCAAACATTGTACACATACATGCTCTACAAAGCTATATCTTTGAGCAAAAAGTCTTAAACACCTCTTTTATAAGAATGACATTATACATGTAATAGATTATTATCATTGTCTACCATATAATATATATATATTGAAAGCCAACAACAGGTGGCAGCACATTTCCAATGCCATCGTAACACGACATCTGCATGGGTCGGGCGTTATCGAAACAGTAATGACGTCGCCGACCACCCACGTTCTGGGCATTCCCGACATAACGACGCCAAGACAGGACAGGTGGATTCGGGTGACTCATCTCAGATACAGGTTCCAGACAGCAGTGACCACGCCCCAGACCATTCCCCAGGCCTTCAATGCTCATTTGCTAGCCTCTATGCGTCGTCGATGCACTGCTGTGCTTCACGCACATGGTGGTCATACCCGTTATTGACTTTGTGACTTCGTCGTGTGACCCCCTACTCGATTTTGAAAGGATATTGTTCATGTTCTTTTGACAATTTCTTGTGGTCCGATATTTCAGCTTATAAAGTGTCTACATCATTTCGTCCTTGCTGTGTTGTATTCCAATTCTGAAGGTATTTTCTGTGTGCACAGTTTCTTTATGTGGCTAGTATATATTGAAACAATTTTTATTACTACTGTATATTTATGATACAGAAACACACTTGGCTAGAAATTCCATTTCTTGAAAAAGTCAAAGTCATCCTAGTCACAGAAACAAGTGAATATTTGTTATGTCGCTCTAATATATACATCACATGTTTAACGACGGTATCATTGATGCATGATAAAAACAGTCCTCTCACCTGATGCCAATCACAGCTTCGTCCAATAATGTCTTCTCCATGTCCCGCACATCAGCAACAAACAATTTGGCCACATCTTCTGTCTGGTCGTACCCAGCGACAAGTAATGCAAATGTATTCTGGTGACCTGTAAAAATTTCATAAATTACAGTAATAACTACGGTAATAACAAACTCAAAGGTACAGCTAATTTTAGTTTGTTTTGACTGTAATTCGTTATACACATTTTGACTATAATATATAGCTGGAGGCCACAACAAAATAACCCAGTTTGTTATATCCATCAGTTTCATATATCCATCATTTTGGTATAACCATCAGATTGTTATATCCATCAGTTTGTTATATCTGTCAGTTTGGTATATCCATCAGTTTGTTATATACATAAGTCTGATATATCCATCAGTTTGGTACATATCAGTCTGTTATATCCATCAGTTTGTTATATACATGTCTGTTATATCCATCAGTTTGGTGTATATCAGTCTGTTATATCCATCAGTTTGTTATATACATAAGTCTGATATATCCATCAGTTTGGTATATATCAGTCTGTTATATCCATCAGTTTGTTATATCCATCAGTCTGTTATATCCATCAGTTTGGTATATCCATCAGTCTGTTATATCCATCAGTTTGTTATATCCATCAGTCTGTTATATCCATCAGTTTGGTACATATCAGTCTGTTATATCCATCGGTTTGTTATATTGTCAGTTTGATATATCCATCAGTCTGTTATATCTGTCAGTTTGGTATATCCATCAGTCTGTTGTATCCATCAGTTTGGTATATCCATCAGTCTGTTATATCCATCAGTTTGGTATATCCATCAGTCTGTTATATCCATCAGTTTGGTATATATCAGTCTGTTATATCCATCGGTTTGTTATATTGTCAGTTTGGTATATCCATCAGTCTGTTATATCTGTCAGTTTGGTATATCCATAAGTTTGTTATATATATATCAGTCTGTTATATTCATCAGTTTGGTATATCCATCAGTCTGTTATATCTGTCAGTTTGGTATAACCATCACTCTGTCATATCCATCAGTTTGTTATATCTGTCAGTTTGGTATATCCATCTGTTTGTTATATATATAACAGTCTGTTATATCCATCAGTCTGTTATATTGTCAGGTTGGTATATCCATCAGTTTGTTATATCTGTCAGTTTGGTATATCCATCAGTTTGTTATATATATATATATATATATATATCAGTCTGTTATATCCATCAGTTTGGTATATATCAGTCAGTTATATCCATCAGTATGTTATATCTGTCAGTTTGGTATATCCATCAGATTGTTATATCTGTCAGTTTGGTATATCCATCAGTTTCATATATCCATGAGTTTGTTATATATACTAGGCACATAAAGAAACTGTGCATACAAAAATATAAATTCGAAATTTATCAAACCTGTGTAGACACATAAGGATTTAAACTCAGAGATTAGTGACATGTATCCAACATGCATGCACGTGCCACGTTCCGTGACGTCAGTAGGTTTGTCCTTGAGACGTGCAATACGTTGTTGCACGTGCATTCCGGGAAAGAGAAACAGAGCAAATGAATGCCACACAGTACTGTCACTTTGGAAAGCTCAACCCCTGCCCTTGTGATCGTTCAGAACATTAAACGGCTATTGAAACGCAAAGCATGCCAAGGCTCACGTCTGCACAACGTCATTAGGCCATTGAGATGGTCCGTGGGGGAATGTCTCAACGACAAGTGGCTGCACATTTCCACTGCCACCGGAACACCATTTCTGCACTGGTGAGACGCTACCAGAACACAAATGACGTCATCGATCAAGACACCAAGACAGGACAGATGGATAAGGGTGACCCATCTTCACCACAGGTTTTAGACTGCAGTGATGACTGTCCGAACCATCCCAGGACTTTGTCTTATCCACCCCAACACAGTTCGACAACGTTTACGTCATCACGGGATCAGACCATGACGTCCCGCCATATGGCTTATCCTGACACAACGTCATCGACAAGCTCGCCAAATGTGGTGCTGAAATCATGTCCGCAAACCCTTGTTTTGGTGGAGAAATGTTGTATTTACACATGAGTCCAGGTTTAACATTTCCCACAGTGATGGACGTCAACGTGCCTATAGTCGCGTGGGAGAACGTTATGCACAGGCCTGTGTCTTGGAGAGGAATCGCTTTGGTGGTGGTGGTTCCGTGATGATTTGGGGTGGAATAACAGCACGCCAAAGAACTCCTTTGGTGATTGTTCAGGGCAACTTAACTGGTGTGGGCTACAGGGATCAGATTCTTCGACCTGTGGCAATTCCTAGGCCGCCCTCATACGGCAAGGGTTGCTATGGATTTCTTGCAACACCACAACGTTGACTTACTGCCTTGGCCTGCAAATTCACCGGATCTCTCCCCGATAGAACATGTTTGGGACGAGATGGATCGACGTCTACGCCGTCTTCCTCATCCGCCAGATAACGTCCTTGACCTTGCAACAGAACTTGAGAGAATCTTGCGTGACATCCCACAAGCCTTCCTTGCACGTTTGATAGGCTCTATACGTCGCGATACACTGCTGTTCTCAATGCCGATGGAGGACATACCCGTTATTGAGCTTGTGACATGGTCGTTTGTGGACTCGTGACGTCATTGTGATTGACTTTTCCATTGAAATTCTCCCGACTTGTTATGGTCTCATGATCCCTCCATTAAAGTTTATATGTACCTTTGTGATTGTTATCGTACTTATCAACTGGGATATTTTGACAATGCACAGTTTCTTTATGTGGCTAGTATACATCAGTCTGTTATATCCATCAGTTTGTTATGTCTGTCAGTTTGGTATACCCATCAGTTTGTTATATCTGTCAGTTTGGTATATCCACCAGTTTGGTATATCCATCAGTTTGTTATATCCATCAGATTGTTATATCTGTTAGTTTGGTATATCCATCAGTTTGTTATATACATCAGTTTGTTATAACCATCAGTTTGTTATATCAGTCAGAATGTTATAACCATCAGTTTGTTATATCCATCAGTTTGTTATATCCATCAGTTTGGTATATCCATCAGTTTGTTATATCCATCAGTCTGTTATATCCATCAGTTTGCTATATCCATCAGTTTGGTATATCCATCAGTTTGGTATATCCATCAGTTTGGTATATCCATCAGTCTGGTATATCCATCAGTCTGGTATATCCATCAGTTTGCTATATCCATCAGTTTGCTATATCCACCATGGCGGGGGACACCAGACACAGGCTTCATACATTGTACCCATGTGGGGAATCGAACCCAGGTCTTCAGCGTGACAAGTGGACGCTTTAACCACTAGGCTACCCCAATGCCCCTGACATTAAGAACTCACAGTACTGACCAGTTCAAGGTCAAGAGTTAACACTGAAATATATATTCATAAAAGATGAATGACAATACGCTAGGAATACACAAATGCCATTTAGAAAGTGGTCAAATGCCATTGTTACATCTCACCTATAGGAGAGAAGCATGGGCCGTGGTTGGGGCAGTCAAGCTGATTGTGTCGTCCCTCCTGCAAGCACTGGATACAAAACACAGCACACTCATCCTTGCATGAACCAGACAGAGGCAGAGGCTTCAATTTCGCTGAAGAAAACAGGACACATATAATCACAATAACATTCTGTGTTCATCCTTCACTTGTTTTAGTGAGAGGGTTGCTAGCACATTACACTGCAAATGAGACTCTCATGGGTATTTGTGAAAAGAATGAAGTTAAACTACCTTCTAAACAACAATTTGTATTTACGTTTGATCTAGCTAAGGAACCAAACTTTGATTGACATATTGTAGTTGGGACAACACTACTGTTTGTTGACGATATATGTGAACATTTAGAAAATAAAACTGTCAATGTCTTCTAAATGTAGCTCTCAAAAGGAGCTGAGGAACACTGATTTTTTCATAATCATCATGAATGTTTTATGACATATCAAAGTCATGTTATAAAATCAGGTGTCCTGTAATTCTTTTGTGTAGTACTACTACTGGTATGAACGTAGTAACATAATCGTGCAGCCAAAACAAATCACATTTTCTCTATTACTGACTGAGTTTGGTTTTACACAGCTGTTAGCAATATTCCAGCAACATCATGGCGGGGGACACCAGAAATGGGCTTCACACATTGTTTTTCTCTATTACCTCTCGTGAGCTTTTCAAGGCTTCTGAACTTTTCATTAAAAGTAAATGACATATTGTAATGAAACTCGTACGTGCACAACATTGAAAACAATATACATTATCTGGTAGTGTTTAAAGCCTGCTAATCAACTCTGAAGTAACATTCTCATTTCTCCTTTGGCATCCCAAGAAATATCTTTAGGTGTGTTTTGTGAAGTTTAGACAAGACTTTAGGTTGAAGTATATGATCTTACATGCTGGATTTGTCTTGCATTTGTGACATTCTGAAATACAAAATAATAGTACTGGTATGCATACAATGACAATGATAGTACAAATATGTATGGGTCAGTACTGGTATCAATACAAGGACAGCATTGAAATGTGTACAATGATAGTACTGGTATGTACATGACAATACTGGTATGAATACAATGACAGTATTGGAAAGTGTACAATGATAGTACAAGTATGTATGGGTCAGTAGTGGTATCAATACAATGACAGCATTGACATGTGTACAATGATAGTACTGGTATGTACATGTCAGTACTGGTATGAATACAATGACAGTATTGGAAAGTGTACAATGATAGTACAAGTATGTATGAGTCAGTACTGGTATGAATACAATGACAGTATTGAAATGTGTACAATGATAATACTAGTATGTATGGGTCAGTACTGGTATGAATACAACGACTACTGAAATATGTACAATGACAGTACAAGTACGTATATGTCAGTGCTGGTATGAATACAATGACAGTATTGAAATGCATATATTGATATTACTGGTATGAAATGGACAGTGAAATACTATATTCATAACATTTGATCTAATTTATGATGGAAATTCAAATTCAAATCTGCTTTCAAAAAGTTATAGTATTGGTCCTAGTTATAGAAGAAAGTAAAAATTTAATGATTATAAAGTTGAAGTTTCTATGTAAAGCTAAAGTGCAGGATTTTGCTCAGCAGATTCGAGCTATGAACTATTTCAAGCTTTGTATTACACAGGATCTCATTTAGTATTCTACAAGTACATGACAACAGGTATAGGTGTGTACATGACAATTAGGGCATTATAGACGACAGAGTCTATAGGGCAACGGAAGGACAACCCAACCTACTTTGACGTCTGCTTTGAGAACGCTGTCTGCTCTTCTTGTCATCCAGTATCTCCCGATGCTTCTGTTTCCACTGTGTCGCAATGCTCTCATTGGCAACATATAAGCAGAACTTGTCCAGGTTCTGTGTGTAATTTGTGGACTTCCTGATGTTGGATATAGCATATATGGGAGCAGGTATCACCACATCTGGGTTGTCACAAAGGTCATCTGGAAATCAGACAACAGTTTTGTGTGAACATAGAAACCAGCGACACTATATCCTTATTAAGTTTGGGGGAAAAGGAGATAAAATGTGTTGGAAATTAAAATACAAATGTCAGAATGAATTCATAATTTCTGGAAATCAAATTTAGTCTTGAAATCATGTTTGGCATTGTTTTCTTTTATGTGTATGCATGCATGTGTGCGTGTGCAATGTGTCTGTATGTTTGTGTGTGTCTGAGTCTGTGTCTGTGTGTGTAACTCTACAGTGCTACCACAGGCAAGTATCTAATGTCATTTCCTCAAGACAGTGTCCAGTCACATGATACACTTTCAATAAACCCATCCCTTATAATAATAATTATGAATTTATAATGCACCTTTTCCATGTACAAGGCACATGTTCAAAGCGCTAACACACAATCTGATTATCATTACCCAGGATAACCCAAGCTGCCTGTGAGGCGCTAGAAGGTTGATAGTCACATGACTTAACCCATCGGGTACCCATTTTCTGCTGGATGAACAGAGTCAAGTTTGACCAACTCACTTGCCTAAGGTGAAATCACATGTATCACATGCCTAACACAAGTTTATGACAGAAAATAACAAGCTATCTGTATAACACTTACGCAATTTGCAAATCCAATCTAATGACCCCAAACTAACATTCCAGGGTCTGATCTCCATATTGGTACAAATAGTCTAATAATAGAAACAAATTCCTCACCCACCAACTCCGTCAATTACAATCTGAGTTGGAATGATCATGTCAATAACCTTGACCTTGATGTATACAAATGTTTCATCTTCTAAAAGTAAACACTTCTTGAAACATCATGAACAAAAGTACAAGTAGTCACTAATGTTTGATCTTGAGAGTGAATTCAACTGTCAGTATCAATTACATGTACTTTCCCTATTCCCAAAAATTCGAACTAACCTGTATAGGTTTCAGATTCTTTGAATATATTCCTCCTTGGGGTACTTATAAGCATTTAAATGTCCATTTAAAATCCCTACGACAGTTGTAACAATATTTGAATAAAATATTTACAAAACAAAAACTACGTTTTGTCTTGTGAGACCACCCTTACAGGGCCCTCTGGCCCCCTACAGCCAAGAGCAGGTAACTCTAGACCGTAACCTCGCACCTCACTTTCCATGCTGAACGACATCAGACAGAATGTGGGGAGGTGGGCGGGCGTACCCCAAGGAGGAATATATTCAAAGAATCTGAAACCTATACAGGTTAGTTCGATTCTTTTTTATATATTCCTCCTTGGGGTACTTATAAGCATAAGACAGACTCCTAAAGACGGAGCTAAGGAGCGGCATTCTGTCTGCAGAAAACACCCCCGACAAGAAGTGGAATTTCCCAAGCTAATTATAGCAGAAAAAGCACACTTACCCGGTCACGTGTCCACCATAGCCAATCAGGCGGGGGCATGAACCAGGGTCAGGGTCGAACATATGTAAATTGCCCAGCGAAACCTCGCTAAAGCAAACTAACGAGACACACCCTCCCTCCTTCCCGTAATCTACTCGGAAGCGAAGATAAGGGTCCCGCAATAAGCCGCCAGAAACGAAATGCCTTAATATGTATATATTTAGCAAAGCTTCCAAGGCCAGTAAAGTCTAGAGCAGAATGCAAAAGACATGGGAATAAAAACCATCACCACATAAAACCCGTCACCAAGGGAATATGTAAACAAGATTTTTAAAAACCCAACACCAGTGTTAAAAAAGTTGGCATAGAATGGTTCACATACTTTCTCGAAAGCTCAATCGGCTAGAGAGGTGGAACCATGCCCACTGGAGAGAACTGACTGACCGAACCGAGCACGCTCACTGGAGAGTCTGTCAAGTTGGTAATGACGGATGAACGTACTCGGACGGCTCCAAATAGCCGCGGAGCAGATCTCCTCAATGGGCAGGGCTGCAGCGTAAGCTTTCGATGTAGCAACTGCCCTAACCGAATGAGCTTTCAACCCAACAGGCGGGATACGCCCTGTTTGAGTATAGCTCATATGTATGGCAGAGACAAGCCACCGAGAAATGGTTTGCTTGGTCGCCGGAAGACCAGCCTGAACCCCGCCATAACAACAAAACAATTGGTTACCCTTACGGGTACCCCTTGTTCGTTTGATATAAGCCTTAAGTGTCTTACGGACATCTAAGACGTGAGCACGTCGTAGAGAGGTACCGGACAGGGAAGGCTGAGTGAAAGCTGGGAGCTCAATAGGCGCCGTCACATGGAAGGGACTATCCTTCTTAGGACGGTAAGTATCAGGCAGCCGTATGCTAACTCTGTCTTTGTGAAAAACAGTAAGCGCGGGATCGGCCGACATTGCATGAATATCGCCAACCCGCCTGCCTGAAGTCACCGCCACAAGAAACGCCGTCTTCCACGTCAACAGTTGGAGTGAAAGAGCCGACAGATTGTGAAACAGTGGACCGGACAGCCAATCAAGAACGATTGACAAGTCCCACGGGGGACTAATCCGCCGGACAACCGGACGGATTCTGTCCACGCCTGCTAAAAAGCGCTGTACCAGAGGGTGCTGCCCCAAGAGAGCACCGTCAACAGGTATATGAAACGCAGAAATAGCTGTAGAATATCCTCGAACCGTTGAAGCCGCTAGACCGGCGTCCAACCGAGACTGGAGGAATTCTAAAACACAGACTAAATCTGTAGAAAAGGGATCAAGAATCCCCCTGTTGACACACCAGCGCGAATAACAGGCCCATCTATCCTCATATTGAACGTTTGTCGAATCCCTCCGCGAAGCCAGAATTGTGTCTGCAACTGGTGCAGGAATTCCGCTCGCACGGAGGCGATCCCTGACAGCGGCCAGGCCACCCACTGAATCCTGGGATTCGGGTGGGGCGCTCCGTTCTGGGATAGGAGGTCCGGTCGAAAAGGTAATAGAACAGGAGGCTGAGCCAGAAACCTGAGAATTACCGGAAACCAGCGTTGTGCCGACCAAAGGGGTGCCAGAAGCACAAGTAGCCGAGCTGGTTGTGCGGTCAGCTGTGACAGGACCCTGGAAATCAGTGGTATCGGGGGGAACGCCCACAGTACCCTGTCCGTCCAATCGAGCTGAAAGGCGTCGTTGGCTAACGCTCCCGGATCCGGAATCCGGGAGCAAAACACAGGAATCTGGTTCGTCACCCCAGACGCAAACAGATCCACCTGGAACGACCCGAACAACTGGGAGATAATCCCGAATATCTCCCGGTCGAGCATCCACTCGTGTGGGGCTAGTATACGCCGTGAGAGTGCATCTGCACGGACGTTGTCTACCCCCGGGAGATAAACAGGCAAAACCCGAATGTTGAACTGATCGCACCACAGTAGAAACTGCCACGCCTCCTGAAGGAGCGACGGAGACACTGTGCCGCCTTGCTTGAGAATGTAAGACATGGCCGTTTGATTGTCCATTTCTAGACGAACCACATGGCCCTGCACCAACACTCGGAAGCACTCGAACACCCTGCGGACTGCTCTCAGTTCTAACACATTGATGTGTAGGCTGACTTCCCGCTCCGACCAGAGGCCGGAGGCTGAGTGCTCGCCCAGGACCCCCCCCCAACCTGTGAGGGAGGCGTCCGTCTGAACTGAGAGGGAAGGTGTCGGGGTGTCGAGGGGGATCCCCCTGGACAAATTCCCGACTTCCGTCCACCATCGCAAGTGAGGAATTAACCACTCGGGCGTTGTGAGAATAATCTCGTAGCTCTGCGAGTGGGACCACAGCTGCGCTAACGCTTGCTGAACTGGTCGCATCCTCAGACGCGCACGCCAAACCACGTCCACTGTCGCCGCCATGTTGCCTAGCAACCGAAGCCATGTTCGGGCTGACGCATTGGGCGACTGGAGAAACTGTGAAACAGTACTCTGGACTTTGACGATGCGGTCCGGGGCAAGGGAAACAATCCCTAGCTCCGTGTTGAATCTTGCCCCCAAGAATATCAGATCCTGCGTCGGAACGAGGTCTGATTTCTTGAGGTTGATAATCCAGCCCAGTGACACCAGAGTATCCATCACGCACAGTGTGGAGGCTCTGCTTAACTGAGGACCTAAGGCCCTGAGAAGCCAATCGTCTAGGTACGGGTGACAACACCTGCCCTGAGACCTGGCTAACTGAGCTGGGATTAGCATAAGTTTGGTGAACACCCTTGGCGCCGTGGAGATGCCAAAGGGGAGCACGCGAAACTGGTAGCACGTCCCGTCGAAGGAGAACCGGAGGTACTTCTTGAACTCGGGGTGCATTGGAACATGGAGGTATGCGTCTTTGAGATCGATTGACGTAAGCCAATCCCCTGTCTCGACGGAGGAGATCACTGACCTGAGTGTCTCCATCCTGAAAGACGGCACCTCCAGTAACTGGTTCAACCCTCTGAGATTCAGAATGGGTCTGAACCCTCCGTCCTTTTTGGTCACTAGGAAGTAGGTGGAATAAAACCCCTCTCCTTGTTGACCCACAGGAACCACCTCGATGGCTGCCTTGTTCAGTAAGGACTGAACTTCGGCACGGAGCGCGTCCGCCTTGTCGCGGGAGGTCGGCACAGGCGTGTGCCGAACCCCGGAGAAGGACGGAGGATCTCGCCTCCACTGTGGCAAATGGCCATCCCTGAGCGTGGACAGGACCCAGGGATTTGAGGTGGCTGCCTCCCACTCCCGGAGGAATAGGGACAGCCGGCCGCCGACAGGGACGTGTGGCAGGAGGCAGTGCACCCCCACAGTCGGCAAGTCTCCGCTTGCGTGAGTGGGGGGCAACAAGGGCTCTGGGGAAGGAATCAGCGGGAAGCCGGGGCTGGCTTCCCCTTTCCCCGAAAAGGCTGCTGCGCTTGAGCAGGCTTGCCCTTGCCTCTCGCGCGCCTGCTCCGCTTGGACTGCAAAGGGGCAGTCCACTTAGCAACATCCTTCGCCGGGGCAGAAGGATAAGCGGACGCAAGCGGGGAAGGCCGCTGGCGAGGAGCGGAGGGCTGCTCCAACAAAGGCTTTGAGTCTTTGAAGGTAGAGACAGCCTCCGCGGCCTCCCGTACTACCTGCAATGCCCCAGGGAACAGGGAGGATCCCATGGTATAGGGCAATGACAGGAGCGCTTGTTGTGTGGCCGGCGAATACCGCGCCACAGACAACCACAGGCGGCGCAAGCCCATGACGGCACCCATCATCTGGCTGGCACAGCACCGAATGCTATCCCTAGCCAGATGCGAGTGTACGTCCGTGAGCTGGCGCGCGAGCACCGACTCCGATGAGTCGGCGCCACAAGCGCTGTGAGCCACCAGCTGTCCCTGCAGTGCAGACAGGTAGGCCGAGTGGACTGCTACTTTGAGGTGCTGGGCCGCGCACCGGTAACATTCCTCGAATGACCGGTACGCAGACTTCAGCGGCAGTGAATTAGCAGGAAAAGGGGGGAGGCGCCTGCCCTGCCTGGCCGAGGCCAGGGAAGACGAGGACGACCCCCCTAATGTGACTGAGGCAAAGACGCACTCGTCCACCACTGGTGGTTCGAATAGCGTCTCCTCCCCCAACTGGTACCTCCTGCCAACGTCTGGCAGATCAAATCTCGAGCGAGAACCAGTTAAGAGAGGATTTACCACCTCACCTACCAGTGATGGTAGGATGCGTAGGCGCGCCTCGGCGACCTTGGTAGGCGCAAAAGCCTCCCCCGGGAGCCGAAACTCCGCGGGGTCGAGCGCCTGTGTGGGAACGGCCACCTGGGGCAGGGCTTCGGCAATTTTTTCCCGCACCTGCCTCAGAGACGAGCCAAAGGAGTACGGCACTCCCGCCTCCGGCTCCTCCCTCCCTCCATCGTCCTCCATGTCCACCTCGGCATAATCCTCGGCAGCCGTACTCTCATACTCCTGAGAGACCGCCGAGGATATACCAGAGGCTGAACCCGAAAGACCATAAAGGTCAAGAGGCGCCAGAAGCAACGAGTCGCCCAGCCGGGCAGAACTCGCCCCAAGTCGCCGAGGCGCCCGAGAGGAACCTGCCGCGACAGGCCTCCCGGGCAACCCAGACTGGCTGCCAGGCGCCGAGGTGTCCCCGAGCTGGGCAGTGCCGAGGCGACTGCCAGTCAGGGCACCAGGCGAAGCCAGGGGCAACCCTGCATCGCCGGCGCCAGCCACCTGTGACGGACCTACGCCCGAAGCGAGGTCGCCCTTAGGTGTCGAGGGCACTATCTCCACGGCCTAAGCCGGGATCAAGCTGCCCAGGGGGAGGCGCTTCCCGAGCCTAAGCTCGGGCCGCAGCCAACCCCCACAGATGCGTCAGATCCACCCCCCCGACCGGCGCGGTGAGCTCCTTACGGAACCCATCCAACGCCGTATCAATGAGAGATTTCACTGACGCCATCTGTTCCTGGAATAAAGCGGTTAGTGATTCAACGGGCACAACTGGTGCCGACACAACAGGGGGAAGAGACAGGAGCAAGTTGAGGTTTGGTATTAGATGCCTCCTTGGAACCTTTAGCTCTTTTGGGAGCCGGCTCCGTATGGGAAGCGGCTCCCGTAGACCCCTTTTTTTTGTGTGAACGTTTGGACGGGGGATCCTGTGCCCAGATATCACCCCCCGCCCGAATCAGATTGCTGTAGAACAGCAGATCCGCTCGTCGTGCTCTAATCGTTTGAGGTGTAAAAGTGGCACATGCCACACACCCCTCTTCCTCATGGTCAGTTTGGGTGAGGCAACGTAAGCAGACCTCGTGTGTGTCCTTGACGGGGAATGGCGCGCAAGGCCGCAGTACAGGATTTAAACTGCAACAAGTAAACAACCTGTGCAGCAATCAACCCCATACACACATACATATATGAAAAACACGCATGGGCTTACACAACTAATCGCGACAACGTGGCATACAGTTGACAATAACCATAATACGCACTGACATAACTACGACTTTTTATATCGTAAGATAGAAAATGCAAGCAGTGGAAACGCCCTACATGTAACCACATATACGTAAAAATTACTAACCCCACCTGTAACATGGAAAACCCACACGGGAAACCAGTGAACAGTGATGCTAGCGAAGGTACCTGGCCGCCATCTTGGCACGCACCCGGCGAGCCGACCGCGACAGGTACCAAGTTACAACTAAAAATTATGAATGAAAAAGTTCAGAACAAGTCTTCAAATCGCCCATGCAGGGAAAAAAGAGAACCATACATACAATTGCTGTTTCTGACCCACTCATAATTCTCGCCGAGAAAAGAAAACTTTCTTGTAATGGACCCACGTCTATGTCGGGAAACGACAGCATGGAAAGTGAGGTGCGAGGTTACGGTCTAGAGTTACCTGCTCTTGGCTGTAGGGGGCCAGAGGGCCCTGTAAGGGTGGTCTCACAAGACAAAACGTAGTTTTTGTTTTGTAAATATTTTATTCAAATATTGTTACAACTGTCGTAGGGATTTTAAATGGACATTTAAATGCTTATAAGTACCCCAAGGAGGAATATATAAAAAAGAATCCTTTTTATCATGTTAATTCAAAGGTATTTAAGAATTTAGATCAATAGTGTACTAACAGCATAGAAGACATTTTCTCTGGTGCTGTTGTCAGTGATATACACTGTTGGAAAGCCATAATAATGACTTACAATTACCAGAATCTGAAATGTTAGTTCCATTTTTGGGAATATTTGCAAACTTTGGTCACAGACCCCGGGTGAAGAACTTATCTACCCTAGGGACAATAAGAATGGATTACTAAAAAGCAACAATTTCCTACCAGAGAACTTGACTGGAAATAAGGTCTTTATCTTCTTGCTCGCTTCAACAAACTCGAGGCATCTGACCAGGGCACTGGCCACCTGTCTCCTGGTCACAGGGTGGTATTTACAGTGGACGACAAGGGCAGCTGTTGATTTCCCTCCATCAGTGGCAACCACCTGGTCATGTTGTAGACATGTTCCTGTTAAAGACAAGGTGTTTATATGTACCATATTCACTGAGCCATGGCCGCTTATTTCGCATAAGCAGGGAAAGAAACCTTTCAAATTTTCTCACTAGACCACAGGACCAGTGAGTGGACAATTAGAGGTCCTGTCTGTATTTCACTGGTCCAAAATAACATTCGTAGATTTACATAACTATCAATACAAACTTCACTGGCCACTAGGACCACTGCAAACTTATCATTTTGTGGTCCTGATTAATTTTTACTAGCCAGGGACCACAGGAACAGCGTAAATTTCTCACACTGAATAAGTATGCTTCTTAAAACCCCACAATGTTGAGTTAGTGAGTTGGGTTTTACGCCGCTATTAGCAATATTCCAGCAATATCACAGCAGGGGGACAACAGAAATGGGCATCACACAATACACAATGTTGAATTAAGTTTGATTTATGAATTTTGGTATAACGAACATAGTTTTTAATGCAGTCATCCTCCATATCACTAACCGTGTCAGCGGGACCATATTGTAACTCCCAAGATATCTGGACATTTGACGCAGCAAGGCAAGGATAGCCAAACATTTTTTATCCACAGCAATGCAGTGTGTCTAAATGTGGGTCAGGTACACACTATAAGAGTAGAATACTTAATTCCCAGGGATGAGAGTAGGTATGAGTGAAAAAAGAGGAAAATGAGGTGGGGGTCACAGGTTTAGACGATTCACAAGAATGATCACAGCACAATCCATGGAAAATTCTCATCCCTGAATTCCTCAAATACAGTGAACAAGTAACAGGACTAAACTGAGTCATGTTATAAAGCTATAGCTCTAACATAATTGGTGACCAAACTAAATGTAAGGTGTATAAAGGGGGACAACAGCCTGACATGTTTTCAGCATTAGTGTCAAGCCTGTTTTAGTGCCTTTTGGGATGGTGAGATACAAGGAAGATTATGAAGGAATGCCAGTCAAAGAAGAAAGGAAGACCTGTTGAAGGTTTGTCTACATCAAAAAACTTCTGTTAGGTTGAACAACAATTGGAAATTAATAAACCTCCAGTCCAGAAAAAGGAAGCTTTTGAATCGTGCAATGACATGATGTCAAGTGTACAAAGGGAGACTACTCTAAACAGACTGAACGTATTCAGCTTTTGTGCCAAGTCTGTTTTTAGTGCCTAAGAGGTAGTGGAGTTAGAAGGGAGAGCAGTCTCTTCAAGGTTTATCTACATCAAAAAGCTTCAGTTTGTTTGATGTTTGTTTGACACTTCACTAAACAATTTTACAGCCATATACAGCGGTCTGTAAATAATCGAGTCTTGACCAGACAATCAAATGATTGACATCCTGAGCATCGATCCTAGCAGTTGGGATATGATAACATGTGTCAACCAAATCAGTGAGTCTGACCATCCAATCACCTCTCATGACAAGCTTGGGTTTCTGAAGACCCAATCTTCATGGGTCTAGTTAGTTTGAACAAAAACTGGAACTAAATTAACCTCCTCTTGGGTCTATTGAGTCTCACACTAAGATGGTCATCTGATAGAATTCCCAGTTAAGGGAAACAGTTATGAAGAAAATGGGGATGTAGTTCACTCACCTAAAGCAATGCTTTCATTAGGGAGCAGTTCAACAAACTCAGTAAAATGTTGATATCCTTTTCAAAACTCATAAAACACAAATCATATTAACACTGCATAAAAGTTATCACTTCACTTCACATGAAAGAAAGTTTTTCAACCACTGTCTTACCTTTAGGGATTCAACTAATGGATGTTTTACACTTTGGGTACTTACTGAATTCCTTAAGACGACTGGTTTTAATAACCTCTCCAATCTTCTCAAACAGAGGATGTGTTCCTGAAAGAAACTGAATGAGGTGAGGTGAGGTGAAATTGGGTTTAACGTTGTTCTTGAGAATATTTAGCTCATATGACCACGTGCATGCTTATGTATGTGTATGTGCGGCGATTTGTACTAGCCCAGACTTAAGCTGGTTTTATAGTGCTAGCCCACTGAGATACCATGCCGCAGTGAAGCATGAATACCCCACTCAGACACATTATACTGACTCCGAGCCGACCAGTCCTTGTTGTACCCATTAATACCAAGCACCAGGCAGGGACCAACAAGTACCATATTTTAACGTCTTTTGGTATGACGCGGGCGGGGATCGAACCCATGACCTTCCACTCTCGGGGCGGACGCTCTAACCACTACACCACAGGGGCGGTGCGAAACTGAATGAGATTGGAGCTGAAAGGGGGGATAAGTATAGAGTTTTACAGCTGAAAGGGGATGACAGTGGTGTTGTTGTGAATGTTTTATCAATTATGAGCCACATGACCACAACTCAATCTAACATGGTAATAATGTCAACTACAGGAGGACCCACCCTGCTATATCTGCAATATATGTCACACCATAACTGGAAACTGGAAATATATGAAAAACTTAAAGCATTTACCATTATCAATGTTGTGCTTATTCCACAAGCAGATGATGACACCAGAGGAGCAGACCTTGTTGAAGTCAGCTTTATCCTGGGGTACAAACTTCAGACCTATTTTCTTCTTTTCTGGCCTTTTACGATCAGCTGGATCACCCTTAAACCAATGACACCAGAGAAAGTACCAATCGCTCTGCAGGCAAGCAGGTTTAATTCTAGCTTCTGTACAAAGTGCCACGAGGTATGCACTTGAACTGAGTATCACATCTGTGTTTGAACACCTCATGTTTAGATAGGTACCTATCAAATTGGAAATACAGACTAAAAGGCTGTTATCATTATATTCATCAAACCTCCAAAAATGAGGGGTTTATCATGGGTGTCATTATCATAATAATTATTATAATATAATCGGGTCTCGTCTAGACAATCCAGTGATCAACCACATGAGCATCAATTTGTGCAAATGGGATAAGATGACAAGCATGGGTTGCTGAAGACTAATTCTAACCCAGATGTTCATGGGTCTCATGAACCCTTGACAACCTTGAAATTGGGATGAACAAGTAGAAGGCAGAGAAGATGGTCAAGTTTTCTTGTCCTCCTCAATAGTGACCTATTTCATTGCCTATCAAACTTAACTTGTTTTTACACATAAAATGGATTCCATGACAATTTTTTCAAATGCATCAATATATGTTTATAGTTGTGATGACTTAATTGTAACATATGTAATATTTTGGGGATTACATACTCTCAGTAAAGACAGATTCTAGTACTTTTGGGAGGTTGAGTCCCATCCAGGGTTTAAACAGCATCAAATCACCCACACACAAAGTCAATGATCTAACCCACTCAGACACCATAGCTTCCACAAGATGGAAATCTGACAACTGGAAGATTAGATCAGGAACAATGCGTAGCACTCTAACAAGTGTAAACTGGTGTGGCTCCCATGGCATAAACCTATGAATACACAATGACTCAACTCTTGAACAGACTTGACTCATCGATATCAGTAGAGTGAAAGTGATCTGCAACTAGCTGAATTCAAAACTAACATATTCAGGAGTGAGTGAGTTTAGTTTTACGCCACTTTTAGCAATATTCCACCAACATCATGGCGGGGGACACCAGAAATTGGGCCTCACACATTGTACCCATGTCGGGAATCGAACCCGGGTCTTCGGCGTGATGAGCCAACGCTTTAACCACAAGGCTATCCCACATATTCAGGAAGTCAGAACCCTTTTGAGTTGATTTTTCTGGAAGCAGCTCATTCCTTGTAATAATACCTTTCCTTGACCTTGTTTCAGAAGGTGGTGACTCAGGATTCTTCCCATGCTGACTTTCATCATGTGACATTGGACTGGCTTTAGTTCCGTCACCTTGTTCTGTGGAGCCAGGTAACAGAGGGAGGGTCAAGTTGGACACAGGCTTCTCACACCCTGCCATAGAGGAAGATGGAATACATGCAGGTTGAAGGTCACTTTGAGGATGCTGTGTCAGTCTTGCTTGCTGCTCCACTGGCTGTAGCTTCAAGGCTTCCCAACAGGTCATGCAATACGGATCACACTCAGCTACACATTTCCGACCACACAGCTGCTTACAATCATGTTTGCTGACTGTAAATGCTGTCTGTTTCCCGTCATCAGCTCCACTGCCAAATAATTCATCTGAGTTGATAGGTTCATAGACGTCTGGAGGAACAGTGGCGAGTCTGCACTTGTTGCAGTTGCTGTCCTTAATCCCAGGGTTCATTGCTGATGAATTCCCAGCAGTTTCAGAACAATCTAAAGGACTCTTTGTTAATGATTTCCTGGTAGTTTCAGAACAATCTACAGGACTCTTTGTTAATGATTTCCTGGTAGTTTCAGAACAATCTACAGGACTCTTTGTTAATGATTTCCTGGTAGTTTCAGAACAATCTACAGGACTCTTTGTTAATGATTTCCTGGTAGTTTCAGAACAATCTACAGGACTCTTTTAATGTTAATGATTTCCTGGTAGTTTCAGAACAATCTAAAGGACTCTTTGTTAATGATTTCCTGGTAGTTTCAGAACAATCTAAAGGGACTATTTGTTAATGATTTCCTGGTAGTTTCAGAACAATCTACAGGACTCTTTGTTAATGATTTCCTGGTAGTTTCAGAACAATCTACAGGACTCTTTGTTAATGATTTCCTGGTAGTTTCAGAACAATCTAAAGGACTCTTTGTTAATGATTTCCTGGTAGTTTCAGAACAATCTACAGGACTATTTGTTAATGATTTCCTGGTAGTTTCAGAACAATCTAAAGGACTCTTTGTTAATGATTTCCTGGTAGTATCAGAACAATCTGAAAGTCTCTTTGATTCCCTATCCAGGAAGTCCTTGAAACAACAGCTGCATTGTCCATTCTGTTCTTTTCGGCCATAAAATTCACAGTTTGGTGTTGTACATAATTGTTGACCCTTCTCAACTGAAGACCTCCTAATTACTGACCGATCCATAATCTGACTAGCACTAAAACATCTCCTGCAGAAACCTTGCAACTTTCTATAACCAGACTCCTTGCAACCAGTTGCAACACACGCCTTGAAAGTGGCCACCTTCCCTTCACTATCAACCTGACTTAAGTAGCACTGAAGACAAAGCCCACTCACACTGGTACTTGGGTTACCACAGCCCAAAGTCAAGCACACAGGGTCAGGTCTCACGTTCAAACCTTCAAGCTTTGTGAAAACTTTATTGACAGTGACTTCTGACAATTGTTGATGACATGTTTGACATCTTCCATTATACCCTGGTATGCCTACACCATGACATCCTGTAACAGTGCATTTTGGGTGGTCCTCCATATTTATCACAATGACAGTTATGTCATTGTGATTTCTGTGTGTCTATCTGGAATAAAGAAAAAAATTCTATAATTATATTTAACAGCAACAGTTTTATCATCAATACTGGTCTCATAAAATCTGAACATTTTACACTGGTTGCATTATTCAGAAATGTGGTTCAACTTTATTATGTGTAATGTCATAACAGAATTATTATTTGACCCTTTCCTGGGGTAACATTTGGATGAATCAGTATATGCAAGTCCACAGTTATTGTGGTCACATCTATTTAAGAGGGTCATGATCCCCTCCATTCTCTTCCCACAGAGGCTACCTGTCATCACAGGGGCTTGTAACGCTAAAAACTGCATATACTATATATAGTACTAAGACCCCGTCAGTGACAGTATATGCCTTGATGGCAGTTTTTAGCGTTACAAGCCCCTGTGCTTGTCATATCTTAATTCCTACGAAGATATGACAAGTAACCTCCGTGGGAAGAGAATGGATCCCCTCAGTAATACTAAAAAAATATATAAGTATAAATCATACACCGGCATCATTAAGAGGCATTACGAGACAGAACGTCAGTCGACAGGTGACACATACATAGAACTCAGTATGTCAGTGTCAATGGCTATCAATCTTCTTTAATCTCAACCTCTACTGGAGCTCCACAGGACTGTGTTCTTTCATCCGTACTCTTCGTTTTGTATACCAATGACTGTTACTTGTCATTAAATGACTTCATTAAATGAAATTAAGCAGATGATGCCACTGTTACTGGCCTAATTTCTGATTCTGAACCTTATTATCGTCAAGTCATTGACAAAACCGTAATGACAGTTTTTATCAAACCTTTATTCAAAGTGTGTTGACCTACAATTTTCTGTGTTGGTATGGGGCCTGTCTGATGCTAACAAAACAAACTTTTCAAAATTATTAATACTGCCAACAAAATTTCGAGTATATTCCTTTATCTATGAGCCAGATTGTCAAAAGGCAACAAAATTAGATTTGATAGTTAACATATTTTATCTCACCATTTTGAAGTACTTCTTTCTGGGCTGCTGCGATTACCTTCCTCAAAACAAACAGAGCTCGACAGTCTTTCATACCATCAAGTATTCGTGAATGCAACAATTATTTTGAATTATCACCATGTGATAACAACTAGAATTATTCAGCCTTTTACCTATGTGGTTGGTTGAATTATATCATGTCAGTTTTATTGTGTAAATAGCTTTCGTTTTGTGCATGTAATTATTGTGTATATTTTTGTTAATTGTGTACATATTCATTTTGAGACAGTTTGGATGTATAAGAATTTCCTCCGGGGTAATAAAGTTATATCTTATCTTAATATTAGACGTTAACGGCCGCTCATGCTTATCACATGGCAGACAGACAGTCTGCCATTGTAATCCAATAATTCGAGTTATCTCCCCTTTTCGAGTCCTCGAGTCCTCGAAAATGGACTCGAGTCCAGCTAAACCCGACTCGTCCTCGAGTACTTGAGTACCCGTGGAACCCTTAGTGACACATGGTCATAATATTTGTCTTAATGACACAGCCAGTGCCTAAATAAACACTGCACTACATGTGATGACAAATTGGTTACAGTGTTTATGAAACTAATCGCCAATCGAAATATCTAAAGCTATTCATCCAAACCTCTCGATAGGTGCCGTTTCAAGACGTCCGGGTTCTGTTCAAGGGACCAAACTCTTGAAGGACTACGTAGATGTAACGATTGAAGACCACTAACAATATTTTGGGCAAGGCTGATTAATCATTACGTGAATTCTGGCTCACATCATCGTCAGAGATACAAAAAACAGAAAATAACCGTGTTCATATATAATTACTTCATTTGTCAACAAGTCAACTAGTAATATATTCTATGCCTTGAGTATGGTAATCCAGAATGTGTTTCATTAGGACAAACGGAAATTCATAATCAGGCAAATGTTATATTTAAATCCACTACCAGCGGGTCCTGGGTGATGTTGTACAAAACATCCTTAGCGCTAAGACTACCTAAGTCTATATAAAGGTATGGGAGTTACGGTCACCTTAACGCTAAGATCGCTTTGTACAATCAGCGGGCCCTAGCAAGCTGAGGTCGTAATTCTACACATCCACGTCACCTTTAACCCATTGACCACCAGGTCATCCATAATCGGTTTGTAATCACCAGTACATAAGTCTTACTCTGACCAAAATACTTCCTCGTGAACATTGTTCGTTAAAGTTACGCTATATGGTTTTAAGAAAAGTTTATTCCACCATTTCTAAGTATGATCTTATGCATTAGAAAGACACACATCTTAAAGTGTAGATACGTGTAGTTGTTTTTAAAAACAACAGCAAAAGTTTAATTGATTGAACTACATTTTCTGGGGAACTACATGGGAGGCGAACACATTCAAATTCATTCGTTACCAACTCGTGTTATTCCGGGACAAGCCGAATAGCGGTTACGGAAAGGGGCGAGTGGTGACGAATGACTCAAATTAAGCACCGAACATCACATGCAGAAATTAATTGATCCGCCTGTAAAATCATTGTAAAACCCCTTCACAACTTGGCTTTTATCTTTGACTTTCAAGTGTGTCATATCTGTGTAGCGCTTTGCCCAGGATGCTTTGAAGTTGGACATTCTCTTCAAAGCATTCTGGGCAAAGTGCTAAATAGAAGTGACACATTTTACTTTCAGAGTGCCTATAGCGTTATGTTCATAAACTACATATCTCCAATCTTTCATTTTAAACAATATTAATGTCGAAGGCTCGTGTAGGAGTCAGTTATGGTACAGTTTTTGTTGTAATTGAATTGAATAATTTACTCATAGAAACGAATAAGGGAACACATGAAAGTACTCGCAGTGCAATACATACCTTGTGAAGAAATCTGGAAAAAAACATAGGAACACTTGCACTTTCATGTGTTCCCTTATTCGTTTCCATTAGTATGTATTTAAATACATGGGGGATTTGAGGGAGGGAGAGAGAGCAAGGGGGGAGCATGTGTGTATGACACACACGTACGCACGCACGCACGCACACGCACGCACGCCTCATTATCTGAATACTATCCGCTTATTCCCGGATTGCTCCAGTTATCTGCATGCTATGTTGTATCTATTACCTTTTCTTGTTAATGTTAATGAGCTGCTTATTACAACACATTATGCGCTCATCACATGGTTGTAGTCAGTTCAGAGGAATAATCTACTTCGCAACGCCGCTCCAGGCCATAAATCACAGTTTTCCTGAAGGTGTACAATTTCTAAGTAAATTCGTGGTGTTTGTTCTTTGTGACAGGTTCAGTTGTCGCATCTGTGCCTTCCAGCAAGCCGTTGTGGCATAATGTCACGGCCTACTGCCGTTCATCCGTTAAATGTCACACAATGACCTTTACCACATAAATCAGCTGGACATCGGACAGTCAAGTTATTACACGATTTCGGTCAAATATCTCACGTTCACAAAATATTAAGTTTTGAGCTTCAACTTTTCATTCATCATTTAACAAGACTTCCATTCAGTGAGTGAACGAATTTAAGTAGAAACCCATATAGATGTGTTAAAGTGGCATGTTAATCAATCAGTATCCCTGTTGCGTTCCAGGCTTGATGACTTGGTTGACACATGTCATCGTATCCCAATGGCGTAGATCGATGCTCATACTGTTGATCCCTGGATTGTCTGGGCCAGACCCGATTATTTACAGACCGCCGCCATATAGCTGGAATATTGCTGAGTGCGGCGAAAAACTAAAGCTATTGACTCACTCACTCCCAGTTGCGTTCTCTACAAAGATGCGGAAGGTCGCGGGTTCGATCCCCGACCGCGTCATACCAAAAGACGTTAAAATATGGTACCTGTTGGTCCCTGCCGCACATACACATACACACGCATGCACGTCGTCGTATGAGCGTAATATTCTCAAGCACGACGTTAAACCCAATTTCACCTCACCTCTACAAAGATAATATATACTTAATTCCTGCATTACAAGCACCACTTATCTTGATCTAGGATCATTCCTATGTTTGTAATTAAATGTATCCAGGTCTTGACCCCGTACAATATTTACGTCATCAAAGATATTTGCTGTGTTTAAATCATAAATCAAAAGCATTTTTAACTTTCAG